GACCTGATGGTTACACTAAAATCTAATAATCACTGCATTTCAGCTTTCTGTAACCTTGTGGGTAGAACATACCTGATGGTTACACTAAAATCTAATAATCACTGCGTTTCGGCTGGTTACACTAAAATCTAATAATCACTGCATTTCCGCTGTCTGTAACTTCGTGGGTAGAACCTACCTGATGGTTACACCAAAATCTAATAATCACTGCATTTCAGCTGGTTACACCAAAATCTAATAATCACTGCATTTCCGCTGTCTGTAACCTTGTGGGTAGAACATACCTGATGGTTACACTAAAATCTAATAATCACTGCATTTCGGCTTTCTGTAACCTAGTGGGTAGAACATACCATATGGTTACACTAAAATTTAATAATCACTGCATTTCAGCTCTCTGTAACCTCGTGGGTAGAACATACCTGATGGTTACCAGGTAACATCATTGGTGCCTTATGCTTGGCGTATGGCCTGTGGTTGACTTGGGCTCCCCTTTGGCTAGTGAAATGACCAAACTCAGATGATAAAATATATCATTTGTCAACATCCCTAAAGATGCTTTCACATGACATCAGGTCTGCCATGTTTGTTTTCCAGTGCTGTAGGAGATGAACTCTTTTCTTATATAAACGCTATTAATCTTCTGTTGCAACAAATATTAGCGTAGTAGCTGTTCACAGCTTAAAACACTTGCCCTTTACACTTACAGTTTATTATAGACTAACATTTAATATGAGTTCGCATCAGAGGAACCTAACCTACTTTCTCGTCTATTTATGAACTTAATTGACATATTAAATTCTTGTTATTATTCAGTATAAAATTAATGTGACCTATTGAACATAATAATGAAAGTTTCACCTAGTGAAAAAAAACAATCCAGCCATCAAGAAAAAAAAAATTTCTACCTTACGTTGTACAAAAAAATATATTGCATCTCTTAAAATCTTCCCCCCCCCCCATCACTTTTCTAATGGTCCATCCCTAAATTAAAGTGAAGGAAAGCTGCAAAACCAAAATCTCACAAAATTGTCGCGCTTGCAGGGAAGTACATGTACGCTACACCAGATTTTTTCGAGGGGATCGACACGAGCTTCGTCCATTTTGTTTTCAATAATTGTCAAGCAAATCGATAAAAGCGATAGCTTATTACAAAATTCGATCAAAATCGACCGCTGTTGAACGTTTGTGAACTTACATTGTATGTTTCAAGCTAACAATAAAACATTTGCGAAACCATCTCAATAACAGCACGTAAACATTATCCTTAACCTTTATACAGCAAGTCATCCTAAACATTGAGAAATTTAAGTATAAATTCCATTTCAATGACCATACCATTCATTAACTTGGAGCTCTTGAGAATATCGGTGCGGAAACAGCGCTCTTATTCGACCTCTTCAAGACGAACTCTCGTTGCATGCGGCTCGAGGTCCTCGAGGTCTCTTCTCCAGTTGCTAGAGGTTCCACACTGTTGCTGCACGGCTCAAATTCCACCAATTCGTTAACTAAACTTATTTCACTCTCACATTCAGATGTAGTGGGGAAAAAATCTAACAAATAAGACATTTTCCAAGGATTCAAAAGGCTTCTTTCAATCTCCCGCGAACTGTTCGAACAGACAACGCCAAACGCGAAAATCACGTGATCAAAGTTCATGTAAGTCCGCTGTACTGATATCTCGCGGGCTTCTCCGGGACATGTTTATATTGTTCTAATTATTTAGTGGAAACCAATTACTAGTTTTCTAACGAAGAAACAGGAAAAACATAACCATTTTCCTCTTGGTAGTACTTTAACAATCTTACCTCCTTGTAGAATTGCTGCCACATGGTCACATTTGCCTGTTATCGACCCGGTTTCAGGAAATCAACCGGGTCGTTCCAAATTGCATTAGGAGCAGCTCTTGAAACCATAAGAAACGCTTTGCCGCTGAACAGGGTATGGCTGAAAAAGATTTCTTTTTAGACTGGAAGCCTTTCAAAGAGTATGAAGACTTGCGATGATCGCATGAGTGGTCTACATTTGCAGGAGCCCTGACATTTGCAATACCAGGAGCCGATGGCAATACCGATAATATTTTTCCTAAATATTTATTTCCATGATTTTAGTGTGAAAATTACTTAATTCTGTATGCAAAACAAAGTAAATCAGGGTCGGAAAGTAGTGTCTCCTGTCTTAAAGAGGGTAGCGAAATGAGAAGTTTTTGTCTTAAACAGGGTCGGGGATTGCGGGCATTGGTGGCACACCTCTAACCAAACTTCCCTTGAGTGCCTTCCACCCTCCCCCCCCCCCCCCCACATCCCCCCTCCCACCAACCCTACCCCAACAAGGCCCGCCACGACAACGCCCCGCCGATCTGTCGATGCCTAGGCATGGATACATTCACACGTGCAGCTACCTTGTTCCCCCCCCCCCCCCCCCCCCCCCCCCCACCAACACACACACCCCGGGAGCACAGTATGGGCTTATCGTCTTTTCGTTTTGGATACCCGGGAAGTTTATCATAATTTTTGGGGCGGCACATTCCTGTATGGCTTACCCGGGGTGGTATTTTCTTAAAGGCTAATGGGGATGTGCCGCTGGAAGGGGTCGCATTTTCATGACTGGATTGGCTACAATGGGGTCGCATTTTCAATAAAGTTACTAGAATGGGGTCGCACATTTTTCGGATTTTTGGGGGTAAGACAGTTCTTCATATTTACGGCTAGCAAACGTGCCAGAATGTTTGTACTGCAGATGAAAACTAAAGCGTTCTTCATTCAATTTAGAAAATGGGTCAATTCATAAAAATAGAAAGTGACTAAGTTGGGATTGCGAAAATTACATTTTTGCCCAATTGGCCGATTGACTTTGCATCTGTTTAAAGCGGCGCAAAGATTTTGAAACGACAATTCAAATTTTGGACAGGCTACTTTTGCAAAATATGGCCTGGATTAAGAAAGAAGGATTTAATTAAAGGTGCAAGTATTGTCTGGCTCGTGGACCAATCATTTCGGCTTTATCATGCAACCTTAAAAACAATTTATACCCCCTTAATATTAGCTAATAAACTTAAAGCCAATGAAACGCCTCATTTAAGTCAAAGTTGAGCAAGCTCGAAAATCATAAATAATTCTGCTCATCGTGGTTAATTCAGAGTTTAATAATCTGCCGAAAGCTGAAACCGTCATAGTTTTGCATTAATTCCAGACATCAAAAGACAATACATTTCTAAAGAGTCTGGTACCACTGTTTGACATTTCGACAAACTTTTAATCTCCATTGTAAATACTTCAAAACCTAATTAATTTAAAATAAAAGTTAAAATAAACTTGAAGGAGCTAGTGGAATCAACTAAAATAAGATTGAAAAACATTGACACAAGCTAGAGCCGTACAAAGTATTTTAAAAAAGCTGAGTTGAATTTATCCGTGCACTCGTTTCTCTGATTAGTCATTATAGAGCATTTTAATATAATGGTGGGATATATATTCCCAGGACTTTAATTTTGTTTAACGGGGGAACTGCAAGTAGTCAAGGATTTAAACTAGCTAGTCTTCATGAATTGTTGGTTGAGGATCTTTCTGTTAGTTGTGCAATGCAGTGTTTCGTGCGCTCAAAGGTATGCTTTTAAAAGGACCAACAAGTTGGTTGTCAGATGGTTGTCAAAATTTGAGTCACATACCGATTATTCTTTGAACTGATAAAAAGGTGTTCATTAGTGGATTTGACCTAGACCTTAAAACCTCACTACGACCTTACAGGCTGACCTTATAACTAAAGACCCTCAGTTACCAAAAAACGGGATCGACCCAAAAAACTACCTTGGACCATATTTCATGCAAGAAATGTCTTTTTTTCTTTTCTGTAAAAGAATTACGAGTGGGCGTGGTCTTTGTTTACACACTTGTGAAAAACTAATCAAATACAGAAGCCAAGCACAGTAATCTCGTCTTTTTATGGTTTTAAAAATGTTCGAATTTCTTTTCGGACTTTGAACCACCAGCAAGAACAACTTGAAATTAATTTTTGACACACAACCTAAAACTTCCTAAATATTAAATTGCGTCTAGAGAAAGTATGTAAGGTTGAATTCTTTTACAATTATTGGATATATTTTTTTCAGTTTACCCAGTGGCTTGTCACGCCTAGAAGGCATTTTGGCCGCTTTACACGCTATGCGGGATAGGCCGAATAGGGTTAAGGGAACATCTGAAATAAGTCGCGATTGCTATAAATGGTTAAAAAAAAGACATTTAAAAAAATCTGTTCAAAATAAACTGACTCATAAACAACGGTTGTCAAACTTAATAAGAAGCGCGGCTTATTTAAGACAGCCACTAAGAAGCATATTGTCTTCGTACTTAACTGTCTCATGAATTCTAATTTGTCTTGTGGCCTTCGTCTACGGCAAAGAGAATGATAATTGATTTCAACCGCTTCACCACTAACAGAAAAAGATAAACAAATAGTCACTGCATTCAAAGCTACACCATGAAGGCTAAAAAAAGCATTTCTGCATAAAATTTTATCGTAATCTATGAGTTTTTGTAACATTTCAAGCTTTCGTTTTCCTTCACCTTCAACTGAAGTGTAATGCCCCGTACATATTAGCCTGTGATTATGCCCCCACCCCACCTCCCTCTATTACGGCTTATAAAAAAACCTCTGATTGCAGAAGTAGTATACAAAATACAGCCATTCGGTTCTTTACAAAAGCGACATGGTCAGTTATTTAATTGACACTTGAATAATGGGACATCGCCCCCCACACGCCCATGTATAAAGCAAACGCTCATTGCATGCAAAGTTCAACGACCTGACACGCAAATTAAAATAGAGGCATATACATTGGTTGTTCACCGAGACGACTATGACTGACTGCATTTGAACAAAAGAATCTGATCTTAAAACAACCACCGCCCACCTCACGTCACTTTTCCCATAAGAAAAAAAAATTTCGTTGAAAGATTTCAGTTGCAGTTGATGTTTCAGTGACATAACTCCGAGGCATCAAAATGAGCCATATCATTCCCCAAGACCGCCCCACCTTCCGAGTAGCACACTGGTACAGATGTCAGGGCCTTGTTGGTCGCGAAAACTTCCTAGCGTTTCAGAAAAGATTCGAGGAGGTCGTCACCACCATTGCGAACACCAAAGACGAGGAAAAGTTTTGGAAGTTCGTTCGCAGCCTGTTCGATTTCGATGACTACGCCGATTGCGTGCCGATCAACGCCGCCAACTTGTCCATCCTCTTTGACCCAGTGTTGAGGTTAATGAATGCCCTTGCGTTCGACTGGAATCGAGATATTTCCATTCAGAAGAGAATTCAACCGTTTGTGCGCACCATCCAGGTCGCCAGAGAACTAATCGCCGCGCAGCTTAACGTGGAGCCCGAACTGGTCGCATTCCAGCGAAACGGTTCTGACCCAAACGCAGTCATCAACAATGGTTTGACTTTCAACCACGGTGATCAAGTCGTAGTGTGGAATGAAAACCACCCGACTCAAGGAGAAGTTGCTTGGAGGATCAGAAAGGATCGCTTTCCAAATATCAACATTGTAGTCCTCGACCTCCAAGGTGAACAGGATCCAGTGAAGATTATGAAAAAGTTCCTTGACGCTGTAAATGGACACACCAGGCTTGTTGCATTCAGTGAGGTGAGTGAAATTTTTTCGTTGGTTTGGTTTTCAATAGTTTTTCCTTCAGTAAAAACTTTGCTCCAACGAATTTTCTTTCCATGACCCGGGGGGAGGAGGTAGGGGCACCAGAGGTCAGTTTAGGTAGAGGTGTGTCACCGAAGCCTTCAAACTCCGACCCTGATTAAGGGCCCCGGGGGGTACTCCCCTATATACGCCATATAGGTATGTACCACCCCAAAAGGTAAGGCCGGGTTTTGCGGCGTTTTGGTCTGAAAACGGTTATAGACTTTCCCTATTTTGGTCTGGAATCGGGTATGGTTTTCGGGGGAACTAACCGGATTGTATCAATTCAGTTCCAAATGACTGAGAAAGAAAGAAAAATATGCAAATTCGAAATGGATTTTTAGAAATCTTTTTTTGTTGCTGTTCTAATCCAAGTAATGATGACATTATTTCTTCGAAGCCAGGTCTGAAAACGAGTATGGATTTTAGAGGTCAGGTCTGAAAACGGGTGTGAATAATGACATTTTTTTGGTCTCAAATAAAGTCAGAATATGGAGAACCGGGCGGCACACCTACCAAGAATTCCCAGGAGTACCCCCCGGGATTAAGGTCTAGTTTACCTGGAGGTGGGGGGCCCCAGATAGGTGAGATAACCCGCGGAGGGTCACCCCACCTATAATGTAAACCTGATCAAATTAGAATGACAGATTATATGGACAGGCGGGTTGCCCCAGGGTTACCCCACCTACCTTGGGGTCCCCCACCTCTATGTTAACAGGCCCTAAGACAAAAATCGTTCATTTTACTACCCTGTTTAAAACAAGAGAAACCATATTTTATGAGCCTGATTCATTTCGTTTCGCATACAGAATTAAACAATTTTAAAATCGACATCAAGGAATCAGACTTTTTTGAAAATAATTGTTAGTACCACACATCGCTCATCGCCAACCTTCATATTCTTTTAAATGCTTGTTGTAGCTGATATTTCATTTAAGCTAAGCCTACCAGGGCCTGCTTACATGGAGGTGGGGGACCCCAGGTGGGTGAGGTAACCCGCTTAAGTGGGGTAACCCGCCTGCCCATATAATCTCTCATTTTAATTTGATCACGTTTACTTGATAGGTAGGGTGACCCGCCATATGTTACCCCCCACCTCCATGGAAACAGGCCCTTAGGCTCTTTGCAGCTAGCCATTTACTTGGGACAAAACCGCCATGCTGAAGAGCAGAAAGTCGCACTGGAACAAAACAGACAAAGAATATTACCATTTAAAATTATGTATGCCTTTTATTTGTCTTGTCCCAGTGCCACTTTTGCTCTCCAGAATGGCAGTTTTGTACCTTGTGAACGGCTAGCTGCAAAGGGCCCATCTGAAAACTCAGTTGCATTATAATTAAGAGCTCTCGATCTTCCAGTCTAAAAATACACCCTGTTCAAAAAGCAGGTAGTCAGGAATTGTATTCCATCATAAGAACTCAAAATTCATGCCCTGCTAGGCGCACACGGCCGGCTAAATAAGAGAAAAGACCGTAGGTTAACAGCTGCGTGTCTGTATCATCGGGGTGACCATAACAACGGGGTATCCGTACTATCGGGATGAACACATGGTATCCGTGTTATTGGGGTGACCATAATAGTGGGATGTCAGTATTAACAGCTGACCGTAATAGCGGGGTGTCTGTATTATTAGGGTGAACGTAATGACGGGGTGCCGTAATATAGGGGGTGACCGTAACAACAAGGTGTCCGTACTATCAAAATGACCCGTAATAAAGGGCTTTCTGTAACATCGGGGTGACCGTAATAGCGGGGTGTCCGTATTATCGGAATGACCGATCATAATAGTGGGGTTTCCGTGCTATCGGGGTGATTGCAACAGCGGTGTGTCCGTATTATCGGTGTGCTTGAAATAGCGGGTCGGCTTGCGGTGTCCGTAATAGAGCGTTTTCACATGAAGTCCATGAAGTCACGGCGGCCATATTAATGTCCCAAAACAATGAAACGGCGGCCATGTTTGTGTCCCAAACCAGTCCTCTGGGAGTTGAACTCCTTTCTTATGCAAACACTTTCTTTTGTTCCAATAAATTTGCATAGAGGCTGGCCGCCACGTGAGTGAAAACACTACATAGTGGGGTGTCGGTATCGTGGGGGGGGGGGGGGGGAAAAAAACGGGTGCCCGCGGGATTTTGGGGGGGCCAAAACTTTTGGGCTTTCTGCAAGGCGAGGGTTTCCCTTATATGGGGAAAGTAGCCTTTCGGTAGAGTTTTTGCTTTTTTTTTTTTTAGGTTTTTCATTTGGGCGGTTGTTGCACCCAAACGTCTTGTGGGGCGTTTTACCCTCTTTCTTTGAAAAACTTTTTTTTTTTGACCAAAAAGTTTGGAGGGGGGGGGGCCCCCGGGGGGAGAAAAAAAAAAAGGGGGGGGGTGTGGGGGGGGGGGGGGGGGGGGGGTAATAAACGGGTGTCCGCGTGACTGTCGGGGTGACCAAACTATTAGGCTGTCTGCAAGGCGATGGTTTACCGTATATCGAGAAAGTAGTCCTTCGATCAAGATTTTGACTTTTTTATTTCTAGGTATCTCACTTGAGCGGTACACGTTTGCCTGCCAAAGCTTTGTGTTCAGCTATCCACCAGAAAAACCCCCGAGTCCATGTTCACGTTGACGGAGCCCAGAGTTGGGGCGCTTTCAAACATGACCTCAAAGACATGGGCTGTGACAGCTACAGCGGAGGGAGCCACAAATGGTTTTTAGGGCCCAAGGAGACCGGTATTCTGTACATGAGAAAAGAGTGCATCCCAAATTTCGCACCCAAAGACATCGGGTACAATGGAGAAATGCAGCCCCCTCCAACTTTGCCAGATGACCCCCTTCCGTGGGATGCGTCCAGATTTGAGATGGTTGGCCAACGCAACGACACCAACCTCATCGGACTCCTGTACACTGCGGACCTCATGGGTCTTATTGGCTACGACAAGATTGGAACTCGGATGAAAAAGCTTACTGACCACTTGCGAGGAAATTTGGAGAGGCTCCGGCGGGAACTGAAACGGCAGCACGGGGAAGAAATCTTCGAAATCGAGACGCCGAAAGCAGATGATCTGCACCATGCAATCTTGGTGATTAAGTTCAAAGACCAAGCGCAGCCTGGATCAAGACAACAGAAAAAGCGACGTAAAACTAAGAAGTCTGAAGCTGCTTCTGCCACGCCTTTAAGCGAGCAGGTATATAACCTGCTTTATGAAAATCATAAGATCGGCGTATCTACAAAGAAGGGAAATAGGATGCGATTCTCGCCTCATATCTACAATACATTCGAGCACATGGATCGAGTGACTGCTGCCATGTTGGTGGAGATAAACAACATCCTCGACTCTTAAACGAAGATGCAAATGAACTTTCACGAACTGAACCGGACGCGACCAAATGAAAATAGGAAAACGGACTCAGTATTTCCCCGCCAGTCCTCTACAACTTATATTCTCGGCAGAGTTTAATCTGTTTCAGTCTCTTTTGATTTTATATCATGAATTTTTTTTTCAGGTTAGTTAGTCAGTGAAACATTTGAGACATTGTCAAAAAACATTTTAACCTAAGAATAACTTTCGAAAAATTGCTGTTGTTAAGCATTAACTTAATCATCGTCCATTTTTCATAGCGTGGTGACGCCTATTTTTGTGAAGTATCTGTTACTTTCTAAAATAAAAAAAAGGAATGCTGAGCAGATTCAATGATACCTTAACTTACTTTTTCAATGCACGGGCACGGGTGAAGGAAACGTTACTTGCCTCGCCACGCAACGCTTACCAGGGTTGCATGACCAGGAAAATGAAAGTTGTGTACGTCTGCGGGGGACGAGGAGGTTTTTAGCGAAGTTATGTTTTCCTTTAAAAGTTCTACTCGCTACATAAGCCAAAATGGCGGCTACACGATTAAACGACACGGTCCAGACTGTTTAGATGCTAAAGCCGGAACGAGCACTTGGCACTCAATTGGATGTTCTGTCCAATCTTCAAATTAAAAAAAAGCATCTTAGCAAAACCGAGAAATCCAAAAATTAGATGATACTTTATTTTTTACCAATTTGCTTATTTTGACACTTTTCATAACGTGAGTCCTCGGTAGCTCAAAATCTCCATTCCTTACGTGACAAATTACGTCACACAACACAAGCAAACCTCTTGCAAGAAAAAAGAAGAAAGGCTGCATTGGACAACTTAATTTTGACACGATTTTCTGCGAGTTTTATTAATATATTACTTTTTCCTTATGTATAACATATTTGGTTCACTTACATGAGAACGATTTTTTTTTCTGTCTGAAAGAAGTTGACATCACGTGACAATGATGAATGGGTGTTTTTCCAATAAGTTAGTGGTAGTCAATAGATACTGTACATTACAAACACGTGTGGAAAAACATTAACCTCGTTCTTTGTATATTACACTGATCTATTTACAAATTGACTGTTTCCAAGTTTGCTGCAATTTTGGAATTGAAGACGTCATGTTTTATACAATATTCATCGCTCAAAAGGCATACCTTGTTAATACAAAACTTTCGAGAAGAGCTCGTCTTTCGCTCGATCCAAATTTTGTTTTAGCTACAAAGCTTCCTTGAGTGTTTTCTTCCCGAATCAGGAAGTTCTAAAATGTCTGGTCGTTCGAATCCGGAATCCTGGAAATTCTGGCTTGTGGAATACGAAATCCAGGGCTTTGGAATCCGAAATTCAGCTCAAGGATAACGGAATCCCGCTTACGATTGGAATCCGGAATCCACGTTCCACTAATAATGAATCCAGAAGGCAGTACCTGGAATATGGAATCCCAAGCATCCAGAATCCAGGGGTGCTTACTATTTACACAAACCACCCGGGTGGAACTTCTTAGACTACTAGTAGTCCCCATTTTTCCTCAGGGATAGTAGAGCGAACGAAACGCGAGCGCGCGTGAAAATCACCCCACGCGAGAATAGGCGACACGCGGCGGGGAGAGGGAAAATAATGAGTTTTTCTCTCTCCTCGCCGCGTGTCGCCTTTTCTCGCGTGGGGTGATTTTCACGCGCGCTCGTGTTTCGCTCGCTCTACTATCCCTGAGGAAAAATGGGGACTACTCGTATTCTAGGAACTTCTGTGCATAAACATTAAAACTATAGAATTTGACGTGGTGCGAGGACGACTCGCTACAAACTATATCCAAATCAGCTGAGCAGACTAAAAAGAGTAGAAAAACTACATCATCGCAAAACACAGCCCATAATTTCTGAAGCTTTCCGAACGGAATGGCGCGAAACATTTGATTTTCCGACCAGAATGTCCGGTTTTCCCAGGTAAATGGTAAGTACTCGTGGATTCTGGATCGTACCCTTAGGATTCCGGATTCCAGGTACTGGGTTCTGGATTCATTGTTAGTGGAACGTGGATTCCGGATTCCGGATTCCGGATTTACATAGAGCGAACTAACAATAGTGCATGTAAGAGGATTTTTTAAGGATTCGATGATGTGTAAAGACTCACAGAAAGCTTCTTCCTACAAGTTTTTAATCATGATATTTGGCAGGCCATTTCTCCTTCTTTTCCAAGCTCCAAGCTCCTTGGATTCAAGCCTGAGGTACTTGAGCCATCTTCTGTATTCACGGCTGGTTGAGGCTCGGAAAACGTACGACTCTTTACCAACGGACAGCACTTCAAATGCGTCTTTCAGCTCTGGAACAAAAAAAAAAACGAAATATGTTGCTTTGGAACGACTAGCCTGGCCTTTAGTGGGGAGGAGCGTTGCGTGACGACCCCAATAACGGCTGCGAAGGAGACTACGGAACGACTGGTTAGCAACACAAATCACTGTAAATGAATACCCTACAGAGAAGTTTATTTTTCTACTTACCAGAGTCTCTATAGATAACGCACATGTCCAGAAACAACGGATCCTACGAGGAAAAACAAATAAAATGTCAAAGGTAAGAACTCAGCTGATTACAGGGGCGTAGCCAACAGCACCCAAGTATGCACAACCATTCATAAAAAAAATCGAACATAAAAATAATGAAATGCAAAACAATGAAAAAGAAGAAAGAAAATTATAAGGAAAAGCAAATAAATAAATTATTTGACAAGCACAGCTTGCCTCAACTCACTTAACTAGGCCTGTTGCTTTGAAATATCATTATCTTAAACAGCGTGCAGATAACTAGCTGAGATACTATAATAAGTGGATGACTGGGATAAGTGGGATGAAAAGGATGAATATGATAACCGGGATGACTAAGTCGACTGGGATGACTGGGTTGACCTGGAGGACTCGGATGACCGGGATGACTGGGATGACCGGGATTACCGAGATGACGGGAATGACTGGGATTACCGGGACGACCGGGACGATTTGGACAACAGGGACGACCGGTATGACCGAGCTGACCGGGATGAGCGAGACTAGTGGGGCGACCGGGACGACCGGAGCGACTGGGGAGGGCCGGGACGACCGAACGAGGCGGGACGAGTTCTCTTATACTGTTTAAGCCTTGTAAAACTTCCTTAAAAGAACATTTGAGTCCTTTGAAGTTATAGATAACATTTAACAATGTGTGAATTCAGCCCTGTGAATGACCGGTATGTTCGGGATGACTGGGATGACTGGGATGACCGGGATGACTTACCTTAAAAAGAGTGTACTTTCCACTTATCTTTTTTCTGAGTAACACAACTGCGGCATCTGTCACTTCTCCTTCCCCAGGAAACAGCAACTCGTCACACTGCCCCTCGTCGTCAGAATCAATTCTTAATGACTAAAGTAAAGGAAAAAAAATTAACGGGAAAAGAGGGATTAAAAACCGTAGTTACATAAATTTCATTTAGCAGTTGCTAAGCGATTGGTAAATAAACGTCTTTAGCTTGTATGTTTTGTTTTCCCAATAGAGGTCCAAGGGGAACTTAACCCATTGTCTTCTCATAAATCATGAGTAGATATGCACGTGAATAAAACGAAATTTGAAAGAAACGTTTCCATAGAGTATTATCACGTGACCTCTATTGGGGAAACAAAACGTACAAGCTAAAGAGATCTATTGTCCAAGGTAAGTGCCACTGTTTTTCTTTTATGTTATATTTAAAACACCCTGAGATATTATAATAACTTTTTTAAACATGGTTTTCTCGGTCTGATTGTTAAGAAACGAACTTCTTTTCTTCCTTCGGTATTAAGGCCCACGCCTTTGACCAGAGAGAACAAGGCAAGTTTTACCGTAAATTGGTCACAAAATCGAGGAGAAAAATATTCGGTTTGTAACTTACAGAAACAAACCTCGAACTCGTTGACTACACTAGTAAAAGGAAAACTAAACTATAGCTTGGATGAAAGGAGTAGCCAAGAACGTTTTCGGAATAAATGACAACGACAAAATTGAGCCAAAAATTTCACAGCGAACGAAATATGCCAGTTAAAATTACTACAATTTGCTATTTTAATCGTGATTTAAAATAAAAGCGCAAAAGTAAATATTACTTCGCTTAATGGTTGGTAAGATAATAAGTTTACAAGACATAAAACGTTGAAATCGTTTGTTACGCGGATAGCCTCCTTCGCATGGTTACAGACAGCTGCATTTTAATCATAGCAGAGTAAACTACATTACCATGTATTATTCGCTTATGTTACTTAATTCAGGATACACACCTCTGAGTGACCTCTGACACAGAAAAGTGCGCACACGGAGAGCGCCTTCTTGCTGTTGCGTCGGTTCCAGGCAGCGCCAAACTCATGGATAGTGACCTGAAAAGTAAGAACAGTAAAATAAAAACCAACCCTTGTTGGCGGTTCAGCGGGGGTTCGAACACACCATATTCTGCGCTTGTAACTGCGTTTTTTGGGCAGAATTTTGGGAAACAGGGGCACCCCACGACGGTTTCCTCCTACGTACATTAAAAAATCATTTTTGGTTATCCAGAGTACTTTTAGATCTGTAGAAATGCATTCTAAGCGGCGCTATTAAATTTGTAACTGTTCGGTCACCTTAGGGGAACTTGAGTCTTCTCGGATATAAAAAGGCTTCAATATTATTTTCCCGAAAATTTTAGATGCAATTTATCGTTTCAAGAATGTGAGAGTTTTTCTTATCCCTCTCTCCATCACAGTTTTTAAAGCGAAAATATAAGGTTTCCTTTTTCTAAGAAAATTAAGCTAATAATGGGAGTAAAATGTGAAAAATTATATTCAGAGAATCGTAGGGAATTTATTAGACAACCTCTGAAAATTGTACCCGAGTGGAACGGTCTTTCAGAGTTTTTAGCCGTCCTCAAGCAATAGAAAATTCTAGGGATTGTTTGCTTCTCGGAACAGATAGTTCACAGAAAACAGTCGTCAAATCATGCAGTGCCCCTGAACAAGAAGAACGGGAAATAATGCATGAAGAAAAGGCTGAACAGACCTGAAAGACTCCGTGCATCAGTAACTGCATCTCTTCCATGGTCCAATTAAGAATATCCGACGCCATTTTCTTCATTTGCAGTTTATCAAGCGAGTCTGATCGTCCTAGCTGCTGACTAGCACGATATCGCTTTTGGCGCGACTCAACGGTGGTGTTCAACTGAAACGAAATGAAATTGACGTTAGTTTCGGAGGCTATAGCGGAGCTCCACGCGTGCGCTTCGCGGAACCCCATACCTAAGAAAATTTGATAATCTGTCCATTCGCCACTTGCACATCTCCCATAATGCACGTTATCTGCCCCATCCACCCCCAAATTTTGCATAAGCATTGTTTTCAATTTCTCTTGGAACGGTTGCAATACCCAGGAGAAATGAAAAACAAGGGTTATTCAAAATTTTTTTTTTTGGGGGGGGGGAGGGGGGGCAAAAAAGGTGCTTTATGGGAGATGTGCAAGAGGCGAATCCGAGAAATTTTGGTAATCATGTGACCGTACGCCAGTCCGTAAGCACCACAGGGAAACCAAAGTGAAATATCAAACTTTCTAATTAATGTCGGAGCCTTTAGCCTGTGTTTAACTTGATAAATGACAGCTGTCAAAACAGAGGAGGAGAGGAGAGCAGAGGCTTGAGGCAACTTCGAAATAGCCTTTTCATCGTGTAATGAATATCAATACAGAACTGACTAATCGTGTTAACATAACCGTGTGTTTGGAGACACCCGCTTTGATAATGATCGCGACGTTTACTGCTGGTCTTCGTTCGTCAAGCCATGAAGACCAATATCAATGCCAAAGTCACCATCTGCTTTTTGAATAACTGGGGTGTACGTATATTCAGCATCGACAATGTGTAACCAAGTTCCATATCCATAACTGAAGGGGTTAGAGATAGGCACCACTTGGTGCGAATCAGTTAAAACAATACAACTACGGTTTGAGTTAAGCATAAAGACGATTGACTAACTTCGAAAACTGAAATTACTGTAAATTACTTACTGCATTAATTTTATTGAGCTGTTCTTCAATCTTTCTTTGAGCCACTTTGAGTTTCTCGCGGTCTGTGTTTCTCCGAGGAGTTGCTTTGCATATTCTGCTTAGCAACAGTGGATATCTGAGCGATAAAAAGGACGCAGAAGAATATGGCGAATAGTCAGACAAAACATCGAACGGAAAGGCACTCGATTGATGGAATGGCTTACAGGCCAAAAGACTGATTTACCCTTCCACGGTTTTTGCAATTTTTGACTGAGACCACCTAGCGAAACTCCTTCAATATGACTAAAAAAATGACTTAAAATTTGTAAAAATGGCAACTTTGAACGTGATTTGTTGAAAACTAACAACGCATAGCTCCGCAAAGTCGCTGAAATTTACAGACGTTTAGTACGTTTGTGAATTTGCCTCCCCCCCCCCCCCCCCCCCCCCCCCCCCCCAACCCCCCCTAAAATTTAGGCCCCCCCCCGGGTCCAGCAAACTCTTCCCTTTTAACTTATCACCTTTACCCTTAAAAAAATTCTAACATTTATCGGAGTCTTTACACAACACTCTTCCGATATTCTTTCACATTTCTTTTTTAAAATTTTAATTTTGAACGTGATTTGTTGAAAACTAACAACGCATAGCTCCGTAAAGTCGCTGAAATTTACAGACGTTTAGTACGTTTGTGAATTTGCCTCCCCCCCCCTCCCCGCCCCCCACCATACAAACCTCTGTAAAATTTAGCGACCCACGAGTGTGCAGCAATATCTTCGCTTTTAACGTATCACCTTTAGACTTAAAAAGTTTCCTAACTTTAAGGCGATCTTTACAGCAGTGTCATCGGATATTCGCTAAATGGTCTTTATGAAAACTTCAAAAAGAAGACATTAGTTGACTCAAGGTTCTGACCGACAGATGAAAGGACAACTATGGACTGACTGATTGACTGAACGCGAAATTATCTAACAGACCGATTTAAATGTTAGCTGGCTGACTGTCTAACTGTCTGGCAAAATGGACGAAAATAACTGAGGGAAACCGGCTGGCTCTCTGTAGGACGGAAAGGCTGAAACCAGAGAAACTACCCGTAATCAATGAAAATATCTCCCAATATTTTCGGCTCACTGGCTTTCAGTAAACCTCGAATTTTGCGTTTCGCGATGATAAAACACAAGTCTGCGTCACCAGGAGATCATAGTAGGATAGAGAGGGAGTCTAGGGATGTTAAACGGGATATATTAACTTCAAAAAAGTTATTTTTAGAAACTACGCGGACCTTGCGGAAACAGTTTCCGGTAAACTGGTTGACTTCTGCAAGTCTCGTTTTTAAGATTCAGTGTGTCATAGCGAGGCGTAATCAATAAATGAAATAAAACGGCAGCCTCAGTGGATGGACTTTGATGTCTTGACGCCACTTACTTCATGATCCTTTGAACGGGTGCAAGAATGAAAGAATTCAAGTCCATTTTTCGACATTTTGGATTTTCCCTACAAGTCACCTGAAACCCAAAAAAACATGTACGTCAAATTTAATGATGCCAACTGCAAAATGTATACCAATCTGTCATTTATTGAGGCCAACGTTATTTCTTCTGATCAAACCACGAATGAAAAGACTCTGGCATCCAGGCTACATCAAACCGTACTTACGTTCAGAAATATCCTCAGCAGTTCCGTTTTCTTCTGAAGGGATTCCAACAAGGCAGAAGCGGCAGTCTTAAAGAAAACAAAAACAGCAAACAAACAAATTTATCGTCTGCGAATACAGCTGTCTTTCCTTAATCCTCATCACTAAGGACGTTTCACGGGCAAGAAACGTCCCTAGAGCCAAGGAGCAAGGAGAGAGGGTTGCTTTCGCAGGTTTTGTCGGATGATGGATGAATCAAATAAGGTAAGAAATGACGCCCCATTTACATAATTCTAGTCCAAATCAAACTTCAGGAAAAATTTCTTGTGAAAATGTTGTTCAATGGTAACACTTAAGTATTTCATCCACAGACTCAAAAGGTAGAACCACCTTGTACAGCATAACAAACAGTACCACAGGAAAGTACTGCTAAGTAGCTTTCATTTGAATGGTCACACTCTAGGATTTCATCCACAGACTCAAAAGTTAGGACCACCTTGTACAGCATAATAAACAGTACCACAGGAAAGTACTGCTCAGTAGCTTTCATTTGAATGGTTACAACAGATTCAGATTTCACATTTTTATTTATTGCACTATTTCAATAGTTTACTACAAAAACAAGAAATACAATACATCACAAAAGTAAAATAAAACAACATTAAATTACATAAAACATCAAATGTGGAATTAGGCTTTTGAGTTGGTCACTGGTCACCATAGATTTCATCACAGAACCAAAACTTAGAACCACCTTGGGTAGCATAATAAACAATACCACAGAAAAATACTACTAATATTCAAGTAACTTTCCCTTATATGGTCAAACTTTAGAATAAAAAATTATAACTACATTACACATTACGTGTCCAGATGTAATTACGTCCTGTAATCAGAGTAAGCAATTACCTTACCTGTTTTGAACAATATATTTCATAAGCCTGAAAAAAATCGACGCTCTCAAGGAAAATGCTTCCAACGTTAACGTCAGAAAACTCCTAAATAGAACAAGAAATCAAAAATTAATTACAAAACAAAAATAACCTTACGCAGGAACGACACTGTCTTACCTGCGCGGGTCACAACCCTAGAAGTCTAAACACTACCAGAAAAAAGAGAGGTGTTGTCCTGTTAAACGAAAGCGTCATGGAAACGCCATCCCAAGCAAAGTGCTAGTTTGCAGAGTTAAAGAAGTACTTTGCAAGATGGGTGTATTGGTTCGAACTCCCTCTAACACCAATTGTGGGACAACCACAGCGCTCAAAATGACCTAACACAGCGGGACACGATGCTAACAATTTACAAATCCTAAAAAAATCTTGCACTTCAGAGAAAACAGTGACAACAGTGAAAACAGCAACAACGGTAGCAACAGCAAAAACAGACACAACATTGAAAACAGTAACCACAACGGCAAGAGCGACGAAAATGACAACAGTGAAAACAGTAACAAAAGCGACAACAGCGACAAAAGTGACAACGGTGCCAACAGTGACAACAGTGACAAAAGTGACAACAGTGACAACAGTGACAACAGTGACAACAAAGACAACGGTGACAACAGTGATAACAGTCACAACAGCGACAACAATGACAACAGTGACAACAGCGACAACGGTTACAACCACGAGAAAAGTGACAACAGTGACAACAGTAACAACAATGACAATAGTGACAACAGTGACAACGCTGACAACAATGAACACAGTGACAAAAGTGACAACAGTGACAACGGTGACAACACTGACAACAGCGACAAGAGTGACAAGAGTGACAAAAAGTAAAAACCCTGAAAACGGCGACAACAGTGACACAGTGACAACGGTAAAAACAGTCACAACGGTGACAACGGTGACAAGAGTCACAAAGGTGGCAACGGTCACAACAGTGACAATGATAAAAACAGCGACAACAGTGACAACGGTGACAACAGTGACAACAGTGAAAATGGTGACAACAGGGACAACAATAATAACAGTGAAAATAGAGACAAAAGTTACCAAGGCTAAGAACGGTAAAAACAGTGACAACGGTGACAACGATGACAACGGTGACAACAATGACAACAATGATAACGGTGACAACAGTGACAACCGTGACAACAGTGACAAGAGTGACAATGGTAACAACGGTGACAACGGTCACAACAGTGACAACAGTGACAAAGGTGACAACGGTGACAACGGTGACAACAGTGACAATAGTAACAACCGTGACAACAGTAAAAACGGTGACAACGGTGACAACACTGAAAACCGTGACAACAGTGACAACGGTGACAACAGTGACAACGGTAACGACAGTGACAACAGTGACAACGGTGACAACAGTGACAACAGTGACAATAGTAAACATAGTGTCCATGGTGAAAACGGAGACAACGGTAAAAACGGTGACAACAAGGACAACAGTGACAACGGTGAAAACGGTGACAACAGTGACAACGGTAACAATGGTGATAACAAGGACAACAGTGACAACGATGACAACGGTGACAACCGTGACAACGGTGACAACGGTGACAATGGTACAACAGTAACACCAGTGAAAACAATGACAACAATGACAACAGTGACAACGGTGACAACAATGACAACGGTGACAACGGTAACAATGGTGACAACGGTGACAACAGTGCCAACAGTGACAGCAGCGACAACAGCGACAACGAAGACAACAGTAACAAAAGTGACAACGGTGTCAATGGTGACAACGGTGACACCGGTGACAACAATGACAACGGTGACAACAGTGACAACCGTGACAACAGTGACAAGGGTGACAACAGTAACAACGATGACAACTGTGACAACAGTGACAACGGTGACAACGGTGACAACAGTGACAACAGTAACAACCGTGAATAAAAGTAAAAACGGTGAAAACGGTGACAACAGTGACAACGATGACAACAGTGACAACAGTGACAACAGTGACAATGGTCATAACCAGGACAACAGTGACAACGATGACAACCGTGACAACCGTGACAACGGTGACAACAGTGACCATGGTGTCAACAGTGACACAAGTGAAAACAATGATAACAATGACAACAGTGAAAACGGTAACAACAGTGACAAAAGTGAAAAAGGTGACAACGGTGACAACAGTGACAACGGTGAAAACGGTGACAACGGTGACAACAGTGACAACAGTGACAAAAGTGACAAAGGTGACAACGGTGAAAAAAGTGACAAGGGTGACAACGGTGACAACGGTAACAACAGTGACAAAAGTGACAACAGTGACAACGGTGACAACGGTGACAACGGTGACAACGGTGAAAACAGTGACAACGGTCACAACGGTGACAACAGTGACAACGGTCACAACGGCGACAACGGCGACAACAGCGACAACCCCGACAACCGAGACAACGCAACAACGGCGACAACAGCGATAACGGTGACAACGGTAACAACGGTGACAACAAGGACAACACTGACAACGATGACAACGGTGACAACAGTGACAACGGTGACAACGGTCGCAACAGTGACAACAGTGAGAACGGTGACAACGGTGACAACGATGACAATAGTGAGAACGGTGACAACAGTGAAAAGGGTGACAAGGGTGACAACGGTGACAACGGTGACAACAGTGACAACGATGACAATAGTTACAACGGTGACAACGGTGACAACGGCGTGACAACAGTGACAAAAGTGAAACCGGTGACACCAGTGACAACGGTGACAACAGTGACAACGGCGACAACGGTGACAACAGTGACAACCGTGACAACAGTGACAAACGGTGACAACGGTGAAAACGGTGACAACGGGGCCAGCGGTGACAACAGTGACAATAGTGACAACGGTGAAAACGGTGACAACGGTGACAAGGTGACAACGGTGACAACAATGACAACAAGGACAACAGTGACAACGATGACAACGGAGACAACGGTGACAACAGTGACAACGGTGACAACAGTGACAACCGTGACAAAAGTAACAACGGTGACAACATTGACAACAGTGACAACGGTGACAACAGTGACAACAGTAACAACGGTGACAACGGTGACAACAGTGACAACCATGACAACGGTGACAAAGGTGACAACAGTGACAACAAGGACAAGAGTGACAGCNGTGACACCAGTGACAACGGTGACAACAGTGACAACGGCGACAACGGTGACAACAGTGACAACCGTGACAACAGTGACAAACGGTGACAACGGTGAAAACGGTGACAACGGGGCCAGCGGTGACAACAGTGACAATAGTGACAACGGTGAAAACGGTGACAACGGTGACAAGGTGACAACGGTGACAACAATGACAACAAGGACAACAGTGACAACGATGACAACGGAGACAACGGTGACAACAGTGACAACGGTGACAACAGTGACAACCGTGACAAAAGTAACAACGGTGACAACATTGACAACAGTGACAACGGTGACAACAGTGACAACAGTAACAACGGTGACAACGGTGACAACAGTGACAACCATGACAACGGTGACAAAGGTGACAACAGTGACAACAAGGACAAGAGTGACAGCGGTGACAACAATGACAACCGTGACAACAGTGGCAACAGTGACAACGGTGACAACAGTGACAACGGCGACAACAGTGACAAAAGTGACAACGGTAAAAACGGTGATAATGGTGACAACAGTGACAACAGTGACAACGGTGACAACGATGACAACGGTGACAACGGTGACAACAGTGACATCGGTGACAACGGTGACAATGGTGACAACGGTGACAACAGTGACAACGGTGATAACGGTGACAACAGTAACAACGGTGACAACGGTGACAACAGTGACAACAGTGACGACAACAGTGACAACAGTGACAACAGTGACAACGGTGACAACGGTGATAACAGTGACAACAGTGACAACGGTGACAACGGTGAAAACGGTGACAATGGTGACAACGGTGACAACCGTGGCAACGGTGACAACGGTGACAACGCTGAGAACAGTGACAAAAGTGAAAACGGTGACAACAGTGACAACAGTGACAACAATGACAATGGTGAGAACGGTGACAACCGTGAAAACCGTGACAACGGTGACAACGGTGACAACAGTGACAATGGTGACAACAGTGACAACGGTGACAACAGTGACAATGTTGACAACGGTGACAACGGTGACAACAGTGACAACCGTGACAACACTAACAACGGTGACACAGTGACAACAGTGACAACGGTGACAACAGTGACAACGGTGACAACAGTGACAACCGTGACAACACTAACAACGGTGACACAGTGACAACAGTGACAACGGTGACAACAGTGACAACGGTGACAACAGTGACAACGGTGTCAACAGTGACAACAAGGACAACAGTGACAACGATGACAACGGAGACAACCATGAAAACGGTGAAAACGGTGACAACAGTGAAAACGGTGACAACAGTGACAACCGCTCAAGTAGATTAAGGCCTGGTTCTACGTGATTTGCGATTTTTATGCAAATTTTCCAAAAACTATTGTTAAAGACATCCTCCTTGAAAAACAGGTGGTAAATTAAACTAACCTTAACAAAAACTTGAAAAAAAAATCCAAATTACCTCGACACGTGATCGACCACGCCCTCTTCTGTTCATAAATTTCAATTAACGATGCCCACCACTTCCTAAACGTATAACTCTAGTTTCTCTGTATCAAAACTTTGACCCTACAAAGTGTCTACGAAATCAGCCTGGAATGGTAGGAATCTTTACAATTTGTAGGTGCAATTGGTGTTCATTGACTAGTGCCAGTCCTCCTCTTAATAAAATTTTCGTTACGAGAAAGACGTTAAATGACTTCGTTTCATTCCACCCGTTTTTACAAGAAGACTATCAGTAGCCACTGTTTGGACCTACAAAAGGAAAACGGTTTGCTTTCTACANACGATGACAACGGAGACAACCATGAAAACGGTGAAAACGGTGACAACAGTGAAAACGGTGACAACAGTGACAACCGCTCAAGTAGATTAAGGCCTGGTTCTACGTGATTTGCGATTTTTATGCAAATTTTCCAAAAACTATTGTTAAAGACATCCTCCTTGAAAAACAGGTGGTAAATTAAACTAACCTTAACAAAAACTTGAAAAAAAAATCCAAATTACCTCGACACGTGATCGACCACGCCCTCTTCTGTTCATAAATTTCAATTAACGATGCCCACCACTTCCTAAACGTATAACTCTAGTTTCTCTGTATCAAAACTTTGACCCTACAAAGTGTCTACGAAATCAGCCTGGAATGGTAGGAATCTTTACAATTTGTAGGTGCAATTGGTGTTCATTGACTAGTGCCAGTCCTCCTCTTAATAAAATTTTCGTTACGAGAAAGACGTTAAATGACTTCGTTTCATTCCACCCGTTTTTACAAGAAGACTATCAGTAGCCACTGTTTGGACCTACAAAAGGAAAACGGTTTGCTTTCTACAGAGTGGGCATTTCGACCCAAAGGATTTCCCAATAAAAGAGGGCGTGGCTGGTCACGTGATACAGTTATAAACAATTTTTAAAATGAAAGTTGAAGATTTCGTAGTTATCATTAGCCTTAATTTATAAGACCTGGGATATCTTTAAAAAACTTTACATTAGACCACCCCCCTTAAAAATTCTGAGGAATTTGTAAAGAACCAGGCCTTAATCTGCTTGAGCGTGACAAAAGTAACAACGGTGACAACATTGACAACAGTGACAACGGTGACAAGGGTAAGAACACTGACAACGGTGACAACAGTGACAACAGTAACAACGGTGACAACGGTGACAACAGTGACAACCATGACAACGGTGACAAAAGTGACAACAGTGACAACAATGACAACCGTGACAACCGTGGCAACAGTGACAACGGTGACAACAGTGACAACGGTGACAACAGTGACAACCGTGACAACAGTGACAACAGTGACAACGGTGACAACGGTGATAACGGTGACAACGGTGACAACGATGACAACGGTGACAACGGTGAAAACGGTGACCACAAGGACAACAGTCACAACAATAACAACGATGACAACCATGAAAACGGTGACAACGGTAACAACGGGGCCAACGGTGACAACAGTGACAATAGTGAGAAGGGTGACAACGGTTAAAACGGTGACAACAGTGACAACAAGGACAACAGTGACAATGATGACAACGGACACAACCATGAAAACGGTGACAACAGTGACATCCGTGACAACAGTGACAACCGTGACAAAAGTAACAACGGTGACAACATTGACAACAGTGACAACGGTGACAAGGGTGAGAACACTGACAACGGTGACAACAGTGACAACAGTAACAACGGTGACAACGGTGACAACAATGACAACCATGACAACGGTGACAAAGGTGACAACAGTGACAACAAGGACAAGAGTGACAACGGTGACAACAATGACAACCGTGACAACAGTGGCAACAGTGACAACGGTGACAACAGTGACAACGGTGACAACGGTGAAAACGGTGACAACAGTGACAACGGTGACAACAGTGATAACAGTGACAACGGTGACAACGGTGACAACGGTGATAACGGTGACAACGGTGAGAACGATGACAACGGTGACAACGGTGACAACGGTGAAAACAGTGACCACAAGGACAACAGTCACAACGATGACAACGGTGACAACCATGAAAACAGTGACAACGGTGACAACGGTGACAACAGTGACAACCGTTACAAAAGTAACAACGGTGACAACATTGACAACAGTGACAACAGTGACAAGGTTAACAACAGTGTTAACGGTGAGAACATTGATAACAGTGTCAACGGTGACAATGGTGACAACGGTGACAACAGTGACAACGATGACAACGGTGCCAAGGTGACAATAGTGACAAGAAGGACAGGAGTGATATTAGTGACAACAATGACAACCGTGACAACAGTGGCAACAGTGACAACGGTGACAACAGTGAGAACAGTGAGAACGGTGAATACCGTGACAACGATGACAACGGTGACAACGGTGACAACGGTGACAAAAGTGACAACGGTGAAAACGGTGACAACAGTGACAACCGTGACAACGGTGGAAACGGTGACAACAGTGACAACGGTGACAACAGTGACAACAGTGACAACGGTGACAACGGTGACAACGGTGACATCTGTGACAACGGCGACACAGTGACAACGGTGACAAAAGTGATAAAAGTGACAACGGTGACATTGGTGACAACAGTGACAACAGTGACAACGGTGACAATGGTGACAAAAGAGAGAAAGGTGACAACGTTGACAATGGTGACAACGGTGTCAGCAGTGACAACGGTGACAAAAGTGACAAAGCTGAAAACGGTGACAATAGTGACAACAGTGACGACAACAGTGACAACAGTTACAAGGGTGACAAAGGTGGCAACAGTGATAACAATGACACCGGTGAAAAACGGTGACAACGGTGACAACGATGACAACGGTGACAACCGTGACAATCGTGACAAAAGTGAAAACGGTGACAACAGTGACAACACTGACAACGGTGACAACGGTGACAATGGTGACAACAGTGATAACGGTGACAACAGTGACAACGGTGACAGCATTGACAACATTGACAACGATGACAACAGTGACAACAGTGACAACATTGACAACAGTGACAACGGTGACAACGGTGACAACAGTAAAAACGATGACAACGGTGACAACCGTGACAACGGTGACAAATCTGACAACAGTGACAACAAGGACAACGGTAACAACGGTGACAACGATGACAACAGTGACAACGGTGACAACGGTGACAACAGTGACAATGGTGACAACGGTGACAACGGTGACAACGGTGACAACAGTGACAACGGTGACAACAGTGACAACGGTGACAACAGTGACAACAGTGACAACGGTGACGAGGGTGACAACGGTGACAACAGTGACAACAGTGACAAGGGTGACAAAAGTGACAACGGTGAGAACGGTGACAACGGTGACAACAGCGACAAAGGTGATATGAGTGACAACAATTTTAGCAGTGACAAGGGAGACAATGGTGACAACAGTGACAACAATGACAATGGCGGTAACGGTAACAACAGTGAGAACAGTGACAAGAGTGCCAACGGTGACAACAGCGACAACGGTGCCAACAGTGACAACGGTGACAACAGTGAGAACGCTGACAAGGGTGACAAGGGTGACAACAGTGACAACACTGACAAGGGTGACAACGGTGACAACGGTGACAACAGTGACAACATGACAACAGGGACAGCAGTGACAACAGTGACCATAGTGACAACAGCGACAAGAGAAACCACAGTGACAACAATGATAACAGTGACAACATTGAAAATGGTGACAACAATGACAAGGGTGACAACAGTGACAATGGTGACAACAGCGATAACGGTAACAATGGTGACAGCAGTGACAACAGCGACCACAGTGATAATAGTGACAATGGTGAGAACAGTGATAATAGTGACAACAGTGAGAATGGTGACAACAGCGACAACGGTGAAAATGGTGACAACAGTGACAACATTGGCAACAGTGACAATTGAGATAACAGCGACAAAGCGTAAAAGAAAAAATGTGCTTTTTAAAGTGACTTGGTCTTTATTTTTGTGCACCATTTTAGAAACCAAAAGAAAACTGGGTCGAATTAACTTTGGCAAAGACTTCTAGGACTGTTACCGGGGACGGAAGATGATACTAAGAACAATTGCGTGAGAAATTTAAGCTCTAGGTCCCTTTTGCTTTCTAAAGTGGTGAATTAGAATAATTAGAAGCATGTACCTCATCTCCATTTGCAACCGAATCTTCTAAACTTTTCTGTAGTTTGGCGCAAAACTTGGAGTTTACCTCAAGTAATTCCTTGAAGGCAAATGCAAACATACATTTTAGCTCTTCTTCTATCTGTGCTCACAAAGTTTGAACTGGAGTATTTGCCTACATTAAGGTAAGGGAACAACTGCTATGCAGACTCGTGACCTAGTGCAACCAAGAATTGGGATAATAATACTACGCAAAATCACCAATCATCATTTAATATCAGACACCAAGAGTGTAGCAAGGAATTTTCCGGAGGTGTACGCAAGGGGTTTCAAATCCACCCCTAACCCATCTCCCAAATCGTATTCTCGTGGGTGATTTTACTTTACCAGTATGGTGAGATAAGCAACCCCTTTGTTCTGAGAAATGTGTTCTTCAAAAGAGAATTAATGGACAAAGAGGAAATCTTCGGACGCTGGGCAGGACATGTGAATTTCATTAAAGCTATATTTAGAGGTTGTAATTGAACAGAAGTCTAATTCATGAGCTGTCCACACACTTTTATCGTTTGCAAGGTCATAAGTCCATGCAGGACTGCCTCAAAGCAAACAATAAATTATGTCCCATTGAAAAGGAAGACCCTTGATAACAATCACCTCAACCAGGTTGGGCGTCCAGCGGTTTAAGTCAAAACAAGGGCTTGGGTGGGGTGCTTAGTCTCGCAGGCTCATAAAACCTGGTCTGAAGGACTTCCCATTGAAAACACTGAAATTACGGTTTGCGGATCTCACAGGAATCCAACTTCCTGTAAATTTCAAGCGTTTCATTGGTAAAAAAAACCTTGGTGAAATATACAAATCCCAAGGGCTAAATTGGGCGTTTCCCTCTCTGGACAGTATTCCTTCTGGGCTCTTCAGCGAGTCTCCGTGTGTGTTAAAACCTACCAAAAACATCGTTTTCCCAACATCTAGCTTGGGTTTTTTATGCTGATTTACGGACAAATAGCCCAGTCTGTTGTTCAAACTTATTACATATTAACCGAATAACATTTTCCCTCCATGAAACTGATCAAACGTATCCCTCGTCGTCGAGTTTATATAATCGAGTACGCTTAGTTACCTGCAAATTAAGGAAGATGGCAGCCAGGTTTTCCGGACTTAAAATTCCGCCAGACTGCATCGGTAAGTAGAATTCCTACGAAAAAGCTTCCATGGTTTAGAACTAGTTTCTCACGATCACAGCACATACCATTGTTACCCCACCACCCCAACCAATAGCATATCTGTGTCTAATCAGTGAACGCAAGGTTAGAAGTGCACTTGGCTCAGATCAAGCGTCGTTTCCAGGGCTTCTCCTAAAGTTGCCCCGAGACTACTCGCCCACTCACGACTGTTTGCATTCTGGGACAAGTAACTATAGAAACATAGTAAACTTTACTTGCGAGGAGTTGATTTTATACCTGATTACTATAGCAAAAGATCTAATTGGCATTAGAAAACAAGACATCTGAATCCAAAAGATCACTGACCAATGAAAATATCTCTCTCTGCTATTTTTAATTAAAAACGCACGTCAAAACACCTCAATGATCAAAGTCGACGATTACAGAAAACAAACTTTAAATGCATATACGTATGGAAAAAAAACATTAAATCAATAAGGGACGGACCATTAGAAAACTTGGGAGGGGGGGGGGGGGGGGGGGGAAAGAAAAAAAAAAATTTTCGGGAAGGGGAAAATAAAAGAAAAAAAAATAAATAACCCAAAATAAATCCAAAAAAAATTTAATCTTAAACCTAAAAAAAAAATTAAAAAAAGAATTTTAAAACAAAAAAAAAAATCCCGCCGGCCGAAAAATCCCTACCCCTGAAGTACAAAACAAATATTCGCGCAAGGGGAAATTAAATGAAAAAAAATTCATGCACGCCAATTAATCCTAAAAAATATTCATGCTATAGCCTAAAAAAAAATTCATACAAGGAATTTGATAACGAGAAAAAAATTCCCGCGGCTCGAAAATTCCCCTCCCCCCATAACTTTTCTAATGTTCTGTCCCTAAGTAGCTCCCCTTTGTTAGTCATGTCATCACAGTTCAAAATTCAAACAAACTGGGGCTTAAAAATGTAAACAAATGATTTGAAGGATTAATTAAAACTCGCCGTGTAAGTCCGTCAGAAACAGAAGGTGACACAAGCTCATTGCTGAAACGATTTTACAAAGATAGCGTTTACTCTTAATGACTTTTTGGGCGCACCAAAAGCATTGCCCATGCAATGATTCAGCACAATTGCCGACAGTTTTACACAATCGTGAATTCACTTTTTTTTATTACCTGCCTACGTCAGTACAGAGTGTAGCTAAATGTCGTGGGTCGTGGGTAAAGGTGTGGATGTGGGTAATTGTCGTGGGTAAAAAAAAAAGTCTTAAAAAAAAGTTAAAATTAAAAAATCAAAAAGTTGTAAAATTCATGAAACGAAAATCTCCGCGTACATACCAGTCCTATTCCCCTTCCCCGCGGCCAGCAAAGCAAATAACCGAACCCTCTAGCACAAACGGACACTAAAATTTAGGTGAAAAATAAAAGAAACTCCGTGCAAGGCTATGTAAACCTGAAGCAGGCTATAGAAAAACTGAACACTGAACTACTTTTCTCAAAGATGTCAACATTCGTGACTGAAACGTCCTTTCAGTTTAAGGAGTGATATTTCGAATCGTTACAGCAAAGATTTTGTACATAAAACAAAACAAAACAAAGAGTAATCGAGAAAATTGTATTTCCGTGCGGCAATAAAATTTACATACAGTCTCGCCTTAACTTGACAGGTTGGGAATGAAGGTGGTTCCTTTGTAAGGTAAGAGACCTAAAACTTCCATCCAAAAATATGAAGTACCTAAAAATTTTCCTTTTTCCCTTCCCTTTCTCACGGTGATCGCATAGTTGGAAGTAAATTTAATTGTGTTATTTTACTTTGTATTTGGGGGCAATTTTGCAAGTACAAGCCCCCGGGGGGCTTATATTTGGAGGGACGATTTAACGGAGGGTTTTTTGCGTCACCGGTTTGGGGGGCTTATATTCGAAGGGGCTTATACATGGACGAGCTTATTTTCGGAATTTTACGGTATTATACGTCTTAGGACTTCCACACGTATCCAGATAGTTTTGATCCCTAGAATTATCCGAATGAAATTACTTTTAAAATGACTCAACTGGATAGTTCAAGATATATAGCTTAGCTTCTTTTAAATTGCGAATAACAACAAAAATGCAAATTCAAGTCACGTACAGAGGCAAAACAATGTGCAAACAAATGCTAACAAATGCGGAATGTGTCAATAAATCACGATCAATGATAGCAACCTTACCGCAAAATGCCATACGTAAATTAACTCTACACTATATCATTTTTATTTGATTAGAGCTGAAACAAGGTCAAATAACACAAGTCAAACAAGTCAAACAAGGCAATCACAACACGTCTCAATCACACACCCGGTGCTGTCCTCTAAGAGCACACCCGAGAGCGTAAGAAACTAAAAACCTGTCAAGTTTTTATGGACGCAATTCCTTTCACTTGTGTTGTCCTTCAATTTTCAAAGCGTTACGTTGTTATAACTGCACATACTCTGGTCATAGTTTATACCAAGGCACAATAAATAGTCTGTTGACTCTGCATTGATTGACATCAATCCAACAACACTCCTTCCGTACCGCCCAACTTATGCCCATGGATAACCCAGATCTTAATTGCAGAACGTCAGTCGCAGCTGAAGCTTCACTGAGGTAACTTTGAGACGTCGCAATGGTAGACGAATTGAAACCCCAAAACCGCCCTACCTTCCGAGTGGCTCACTGGTTCCGATGTCAGGGTCTTGTTAGTCGCGACAACTTTCTTGCCTTCCAGAAAACGTTCGTCGAGATCGTTAACTCCCTTACGAGCAAAACAGGCGATGACTTGTGGGTATACGTGCGCGGGCTTTTCGACTTCGATGACTACGCCGATTGCGTGCCGATCAACGCCGCGAATTTGTCCATCGTCTTCAACCCAGTACAGCGGTTCATGAACGCACAAGCGATAGATTGGAACAGGGATATTTCCCTCCAGAAGAGAACGCAGCCGTTTGTGCACACCATCCAGGTCGCCCGAGAGATGATCGCCAAACAGCTGAACGTGGCACCGGAGTTGATTGCTTTACAGAGGAACGGCTCTGACCCCAATGCAGTGATCACAAACGGCTTAGATTTCAAAGAAGGAGAAGAAGTCGTGTATTGGGTGGAAAATCACCCGACTCTAAACAATGTAGCTTGGTACATCAGGCAGAATCGCTTCCCCAATATCGGTAATCCTAAAGGAGTCACAATTCCTAAAGAAGACCTAGCGACAGCTAATATTCCCAATATTGTCAAAGCGTTTACTGATGCTGTTAATGACAACACCAAAATAGTTGCCTTCAGTGAGGTAAGTGAATTTTTATCAGTAATTTATTTATAATTTTTAGCGCTGTACATCGCTGGGAGAGAGCCCTTGTTCTTGTGGGTAACTCTGAGAGCCTCCGCCCAACCACATTTCAACTTCTAAAGTTAAGTTCGAACTTCAGTTTGTGAATGATATCCTGTGTCCTCTTTAAATGAAATCTACTGATCGACACTGTCGAACTTCCTGTGGTACTGTTTATTGTGTTGTACAAGGTGGTTCTAACTTTTAAGTCTGTGGATGAAATCCTATGATGTGACCATTTAAATGAAAGCTACTGAGCAGTACCTTCCTGTGGTACTGTTTATTATGCATTGCAATGTGAATTTAAAACGATTCATTTGAAACCTCTTCAGAAGCGGTTTCACATTTTATAATTCGTTTCAATACCCACACAACGAATTTTTTAACGTTTCGTGAGGTCCAATACTCTATATAAAGCAAGAATAATGACATGATTATAAAACAGCACGTACAAACAATAAGGGGGGGCTTACTTCGCATTGATAGCCAAACAAAGCGCATGCTGGGTGCAAGCCTTTATTGTTTGAATGATTGAAAACATGACCTCTTAAACTCCTAATCCTCTTTAGTTTACTTTTGCTTAATAAAGTGCTTTTGAGCCGATAAAACATGACAAACCTAACCTTAAAGACCAATTCAGAATCCATGTACTCATGTCGTGGCGTTTTCACCCAGAGGTTTATTTTTAGAACGATTTTGGCGCGAATCTAGAATATCTTTTAAGCCCCTAAACCCAGTGACAAAAACCTACAGACCTGAAAATGATATTTTTGACCTTTAAATGGTTTAGTTTTCCTTTTCAATATTTTATACTTTGAATGCATTCATATCTTGTTTTTCCCTGTTCCCTCAAGCGTCAGAGCCAAGTGTAAATTTTCATAAATTGAAAGTGGTTTATTGATATCCTCTTCCTATTATGCCTACAGGAGATGTATAGGGGCATCAAATGAGAGTTAAATTTTGGAAATTAGGGTTTAAAGGGTTAAGACATCATAAGTAGATTTCGGGAGCACCAGAATGCACATTCAACTTGTTACTCACTTCTTTCAGTATCTTCTAACCCCAGGGAGGTCAGAACGAAACAACCTAGAACTACTTTATGTCGGACAACGTTGTTCCCAGCCTCTCTTACGCTCCTGGGAACCAGGTTGCTATGTCAGACATGTCTAGCGCACAGTCTTACCAACAATTTCCAAAGTATCATAGAGGGACCTAAATTAGATGGAAGGAGTATCCTTTGGTGATGGCTTTTATTTCATCCACAGGTATCCCACCTGACTGGCACATTGCTACCAGCCAAAGAGATTTGTGCAGGGATCCATAAGGATTACCCCAACGTCCATGTGCACGTTGATGGGGCGCAATCCTGGGGAGCAATGAAGCACGACCTCCAAGACATGGGCTGTGACAGTTACAGCGGAGGGAGCCACAAGTGGTATGTGGGGCCCAAGGAGTGCGGTATTCTGTACATGAAAAAGGAGCGCGTTCCCAATTTTGCACCCAAGGACATCGGCTACGATGGAGAGATGGAACCTCCCCCAGACCTAACCCCGCGTCCCGAAGGAGAGGAACCGGAAACCCTACAGAACGACGCCTCCAGATTTGAGATGGTTGGACAACGGAACGACACTAATCTCATTGGGCTTCTGTACACTGGAGACCTGTTGGAGCTTATTGGCTTTGAAAACATCGGCGTTCGGATCCACGATCTCACAAAACACTTGCGAAAGAGACTGCTTACTGTCCAGCATGAGGTTTCGGAATATTTTGGGGTCGGCACAGACGTCATCTTCGCCATCGAGACGCCGGATGACCAATTCGAGACGCAAATGTACCATGCAATTTTGGTGCTTAAGTTCAACGAACCGCCGTACCCATCAGCCTCCATCAAATGTAGAAAAAAGTCAAAAAAGCCCCGTGGTTCCAAGAAAGCAAAGTCCACCGAAAAGGCTGATCTGAGTGTGAGGCTTTACAATCGTATCTACGACAATCACAAGATTTGCCTCTCGACCAAGAAGGAGAACAGAATGCGAATCTCACCTCATATCTACAACACTATCGATCACATGGATCGATTGGCAGAAGCTATCAAACAGGAACTGATCTACATCCTCAACTCTGAGTCTGAAACTGTGGAACCCACAGCCTGAAAAGAGGAAACCGGGCCCAGTATTTCCTGAAGCGCGTAGTAAATCTCGTACTCAGATCTCCCACGCCCAAAGGAGACAGAGAGAGATCTGGTTACGAGATTGGCGAGTAGCAGCATTTCTTTCTTTTTGTACTTTGCAGCAAGGGACTCCACAGCACGAAAAGATGAAAATGAACTCTTGTAGTGATAATTTCCGGTAAACAGATTTGCCTTAGCTATTGTAGTATTTGCTCACTTAAAATGCACTAAGTCTGTTTGTAATTCAAAGGATGATGGCTATTTTCCAAAGAACTAAATATACAAGCCATTGACCTGACTCACGCGGATTAATAGAAAGGGAAAGTCGGAAATTATTAATCAATTGAGTATATTTGATTGTTCTTGGTAGCTATGTTTTTCCAGTTTTTAAAGGAGCTGCTTTCAACAATAAAGAGGATTGCAGGTTAGATTTAACATGACTACATCAGCTGTTTCTAGCGCATCCATGGCAACATTATTACCCTTAAACAACCATCCCCCCTCCTACACCTGATATCACTAGGCAGGATCTTGCTTTATTATTCATTGGCGAACCGAAACTTCAAGAAAAATGTCGAATTAAATAAAGAAATAAATAAATAAAAATAACAAAAATGAAAACACAAGTAGGACCATGTGATAGTACTGCCAAAGAAGTTTCAAATGAATGGTCACACTTATGGATTCCGACCCTACACTCTTACATTAGAACCAGTGTACAGTATAATAAACTGTACCAAAGGAGAGTACTGTTCAGTAGCGTTCGCACAATAGGATTTTATCCACAGGTCTTTTATCCACAAAAATTAGAACCACCTTGTACAGCATAATAAACAGTACAACAGGAAAATACTGCTCAGTAGCTTTCATTGGAATAGTCACATCATAGCATTTCATCAACTGACTCAGATGTTAGAACCACCTTGTATAGTATAATAAACAGTACCACAGGAAAGTACTGTTCAATAGCTTTCATTTGAATGGTCACACCATAGGATTTTATGGAGTAATACTATGGAGTCAAGAAGGGTTTAAGTAAAGTACAGTAAAACTGACCTCTTTAAGAATTTGCAGATCATTTCCATAGTTGATTTCCGTTTGTACAAGCTCGATAATAGCCTCCTTTCTTTCCACTTTGCGATCTTTACATTTGGCGCAAATCTGGGGCTCGCTAGCGTTGCTTTCTTCCTCGGGTGGAACATAGTGCTTTAGACAATCTGGACATTCAACCTGAGGATGGCGAGAACAATGTGTTTTCGAATGAAAACAACACTATTGGTCGTTGGCTACTCTGTTGTGGGAATGTGTGGGAGTACGTATTCTTCCATGTATTTTGGTTATAGAGATGAACAAAACCTTGCGATAACAGAACAAACTAAGCTTACTGACATGACTTGGATTCAACGCATATTGGAATTCGTTCAGATAGAAAGCAAGTCCTCGTCACTTTTTGAAATGCTTGAGTAAATAATAAATGAACAAACGAACGAACGAACGAACAAAAGAAACCAGCAAATGAATGAATGAAAGAACGAACAAATGAATGAATGAATGAAAGAATGAATGAACAAATGAACGAGTAAACGAGTCAACGAATCAATGAATCAATGAATGAGTGAATATGAAAGAATTATCCAACGACCGATCAAACGAATGGGACAAAATGAATGGATGAATGATCGAACGATCGAACGAAATGAAGGGAAACAAACAAAATGAAGGGATGGATGAATTGATTGATGGACGAACCCAGAGATGGATGAATGAATAAAATCAAAGAAATCGTACACTCACCATATCTTCTGTAATAGAATGCGTAGAACTCTTCTTTCTTGGTGTGGTACTCGGTTCGTTTTCATTGGCCTTTTTCCTTCGCGCCAGTTCTTGCCAGTGTCGAGCTGAGGCAGCTACAATGGACCAGTGCTCAGAGCTCTTCATCATAATCTCTTCCCAGGACCGCCTCAAGGGACTCTGTCCCATATCTCCTCCGACACCGCTGTCGGTGCGCTCCACATCTACTTCGAATTTAGGTTGGTCATCTGATGATAAAAGGCGATTGGATGATTCAGAAGGTAGCCGGTTGTTTCCCTAAAGATTGTGACCGTTTCGCTACGAGCTTGCCTATGTAAACTGTGACAATTTCTCATTGTTTAAGTGGATTTGGTTTAAGTTGCTTCTCTTGGATATCTCAAATGGAGAAGTGCGCAAAAATCAAATTTTTACAGTGAATTGACTTTTAACAGCAGAGTGCAGTAAAACATCTTTGTAGCGAAACTACTGGTTACCATTAGGAGTCTCTCCTGGGCATAAGATCTTTTTTCAATACAAATGATACACAAACGCAAGCCTAAAGAACCCCCGCATTTGAAACGAAAAAAGATAGCCGAATTTTCAATATTTCGGCACAGCTCGCCAGGCCGTACTTGTTCAAACGGTGGATAACGAATTCCACTGAACAAATCCGTTTCCACAGCATTTTGCGATTACTTATCCCCTGAATATACATTAGATTGTGATAGTACCAAATTGAATTTTCGTGAATCTAACACAACATAGATGATAATGATAACGATAAAAATAAAGATAATAATAATTATTATTATTATTATAATTAATAATAATAAAATCCTTTTTAACTCTTGGCAGTCTTTGTAACACAAAGGCTAGTGTGGCCGAGCAAATGATTGAAAGATTACCTTCAGAATCCTGATAATCGAACACTTCATCGTACTCAGTTATGTTAGAATCTGTTTCAAACTCAAACATGTGAGCCGAACCACTGTCAGCACTCATGTTGCTATGGAAACTTTCCCATCGCCGGCTTCGTGAACCACGTTCATCATCCATTTCACTACAGATACTAACAGTATCGTCCACTTCGGTGTCCGAACAAGCACTGCTGGCCACACTGAGCATGCTCGTGTGGATTCCCCCTTTCCGAAGACCTCTGTCTTCCTGGAATCGCCGGCGTCGAGCTCTCGGTGACGCCCTGTCGAATGATCGGTTACGTTTGACATCCATTAAATTCGTAGGGGAATTTGCAGGGTTCTTTTCAGTTTCTTGGTTCTTATGTTTCGTAGTTTCCTCCGTTTTGCCGATTATTTCTGACAGTTGTTTTCTGTCGGGTAATGGCGAATCTTTCGTTGTACTCAATTCTTTGTTTGCGGCTCTTTTGAACTTTGAGGCACATAAAATGGCTCGCGAAGTCCCGCGTAAACTAAACGAGTTCTTTGTCACATTCGACGAGTCTAGTTTGGCGTTTATTGGTTCACTGTTACTAGCACAAATTTCATCTTTCGCCGCCTTGATTTTCAAGGCGAGCGATTGAGCTCTAACTCTATCCGCAACTGAAGACTCCAAATCATTTTTTTGAGAGGCCTTGGCAGTACTATAATTCTCCACTACCGTCCTGTCAGTTGAGTTGCTCTCCTTTGATTTGACTCTGCTAGTAACGCCAGCTCCATCTAAAGAAGACTCAAAAACGCCTTTACAAATTCCGTTTTTCCTTCTCAATTCTCTGAACCTTTCAGCGGCAGTCTTTCTAGCCTCACCTGTGATACCTTGAGTAGTTTTGCGAGGAGAAAGTGGGCTGTCTACAAGAGTAGAACCGGTCGATTGATCTGTTGCGCCCTGCCAATTTGTTTCTCTCTCTTCCATCAACTTTCCTATTCCATCCGAAGATAACCTCTGAGGTTCCTTCTCTTCATTTCCTCTTTCTTTGCCATCTAAACTGATATTGCCATACGAAATGGCCTTTCTTTCATCCTTGGGACTGCGAGATTTCTTCCGACTCCCTTTCTCGTACAAACCGTACTTCAACATTAATTGGTGGATCACTTCATTCTTGGAGAAAGGGCTCTCCTGCCGTCCCCTCGAAATCTTTCGAGAGATTTTAGTCTCCTTTGAGCTATCATGTTTTGGTTCAATCGATTCCCCTGACTTTGCAATATTTTTATCAATCCTCCCATTTCCCGACGAATTAAACTTGTATCCTTCACCACCTGACGAATCCATCTTGTTTGCTATACTAAGCCTTTTTGTAGTGTTCTGTGCCGATATGTCTTTAGCGCTTTCATAGAGAGAAGAGAGCCTCTCCTTTAGACTAGTTCGCCCGTCCGTGTCGCTCTTGGATTCGTGCTTAACTGTCTTTGGAAATTTCCCTAACCCCACCTCCTTAGTGTGGGTATTTTCATCTACGCGAACATTTTTCGAATATCTCTCTAAATTTTTCTGTTTGAATTCCCTAAACGATGGAATTGGAACTCTTGCCAGTGGATATTTCTCTCTGGGACTTCCAACAGACAGCGGTAGACTATCTCTCCTCTTTTCCGAAACTTCCTCGGCAATTAACTGTTTCGCTTGTTTTCCGAGATTAGAAAGCGACATAGCTCGACTCAACGACGGTCTCTCTCGACCGCCAACGGTAGAAGATCGGCTAGAGTCGGTTTTCGTCGTGGGGTCTAATCCTTGTAAGGAATTATTCTGAGTCTTTGCTTTGTTCGGTGGAACAATGTTCTGAGGTGAAGAGTAACCGAAGAAACGTTGAGGGGTCGAGGGAGATGGTGACTCACCTCTTCGATAACCACTCCGAATTTCCGAGTTATATCGAAGATACTCGAATGCTCCCGATGACTTCTGATCGTATCTCGTGAAGCCAAGCGTACTCTCGTTTCCTCTCGTGCCATAACCGCTCTCATTCGGCGAAAAACCGTTCTCGCTTAGACGCGAACGAGGCGACAAACAGGCATCGCGAGGGGAGGGTGAAGGGGAGGCGGTATATGCCGAAAACGAACTATAATCGCTATACTGAGAGGGGGTTGGTGAGGCTCTACCATCGCGAGGGTTGAAGTAAGGTGGACTAAACGGAGGAGAACTTGCAGTTAAATCTGGAACACTTCCTGCAGAATAAAGTCTGTATTCACCATTGTAAATTCTTGGAGAGGTCGAATCAGACTGCAGATAAAACATTTCTCGATAGCGTGGATCACCTTCGTAACTCGGATAAGCAAAACTTCTCTGAATAGCGGTTGGAGACTGGGATCCATAACCAGCATCGTAACCAAGGTTACTGAGATCACTCAATGATCGTGATGTAAGTAGGTGCCTTCCTTCCACCTCCCTATGGGGTGTTGCTGGGTAGGCACTTGCTCTTGCACCGTACTGATCAGGGTATCCATGGCGATAATTGACGTCATTCGCCAGATATGAATGGTGATAATTCATCACTGAAAATTCGTGCCCTGATGTGCGAAGATCAGGAGTCGATGCCGCATGATGAAGACCAGGACCAGGGGCCATAAAGTTAGGGGCGCTTTTAACATACCCGGAATCACCTGGATCACTGTTGTGTGTAAGGCTATGGGGTCTTAGAGGTGAAAAAGGAACACTTTCTCCATACGTGCTCATTGATGGATCACTGTGGCGTGACAAGGTGCGTGGTCTGTAAGACTCAAGGGCATTGTCTAAGTTGGCCCCTAGTGGTGAGTCCCTCTGGTGCAGCGTGCTCTGTGGTCTGTAAGATGAAGGGCCAGTGGGCACATCAGCTCTTCCTGACGAATAAGAAGGGGAAGCGCTTGTTTGACTTCTTATCGGCTCGCTATCACTACCCATAGGAGGCTGGGTTTCTTTCTTTTTCACCTAAAATAAATTTAAAAATGAAATAGAGATGTATAAAAACATGAATTAAGTAATTCAAAACAAAAAGCTTCCCTAAGACAATAGAAGGCCGACGCTCAAGCAACCGTAATCTTGTCCTGGGGATCCTGTGTCTTCAGCACCAAGAGTGAATTCAGCTTTCAACTTCGTTCCCAGGGTTTTCTCTCTTGTCTCAAGGAAGAGATAGTACCCTGGGAACAAGGTTGTTCAGCTCCGTATGTCTTGACGTCACTGGGCCTCGTTTTGATGAAATCACTAGACTCGCTGTCATGCATCAGTGATGATAAGTCACACGACTTCAATGCGTTATTGCTGGATCGCTGAACCAACTTTCTCGGTGCGAACGCATTTTCCCAATCCATGACTACTACTAATTTTAAAACTATTTGCTCAGATTCAAGAAACTCTTCACTGGTTAATTTTAGTTGCGTTAAAGTTTTGGCTTTTACACTCTTGCTGTTCTTTCCACGTTTAACGCGACATTACAATGATACTTTTTCGCATTCACTAAAATGACTACTTGATTGCATTCTTTATATTCGTCAACAAAACGGAACGAATGTTACGCTCGGTCGATGTTTGGACAAAAGAATCCATGCACCCTGCCATGTTCTCACGGTAAAACAGTCTACTAGCCACATTATAGCCGGTGAACAGGCGTGCATTTTTTTCGGCCTGTCGAAGGCATTTCAATTGTAATGGCCCCATTGACTAACAACACACAAAAATAAAAGTATACGTTTGGGCTCGCAAATCAGCGTAATTTGTCTGGTAAATGTTAAAACTATTTTAGTTTTATTTTACTTCCTTCTTTAAAAGACGAAACGAACTCTTTTAGTAAAAATGTTGCCGCTCATCGCATAACTTTCCAAGCCTGAAAAGTTGTCATCGATATCAAAAGGCGTTCGTACAGACACATTGCGAAAGAAAGAAGCTGTGTTTTACAAGGCTTGGCTACTTAAATTTATATTATATTTGTACGATATGTTTTAATCATTGTTTCAGTTAAGTTTGACTCGGCGTGCATAATATCCTATACAAGAATCGAAACGCCTCGAAACAACACTGAAATAACGGACAGCAGCTATATATATGCAGCATATTGCCAGATGTTGTTGATAAAATTTTACAGCTTTTTCTTTTCAATTGCGAACGCGAAATAATGTTAACAGGAGCATTAAGCGCCAGGTGGCTTAGTGATGTTTTTAAGCTGTTTTACTGAATGTATAGATGTTTTACCCTTTTATTTTGCTTTATTTGAAACCGCTTTTTTAACGAAGAATTTAATCTTCAAAATTAGTTCTTGCTGGGACAGGATAATGAGACGTACTGGCAGTGACGGGAAGATTCAGATCGTAATAATGTATTAGTTGGTGCAAAATGCAACTGCAAACTGCGAACTGTACACAGCAAACTAGAAACAAGATGGCCGCAGACTTTGAACTGAAAAGCCTACTCCTATAAACTTTCCTTTTTCCAGTTAGCAATTTAATCCCCACACATGTCTGCTATATGAGCGACATTGAAATTGAAATGCAAGTTAAGTAAGTGAACCTAGAACTCCCAATGTATGAGCGCCAAATTAGACGAACGGTTTACAAAATAATCTTAAACTGCATTAAAAAGAAGAGACTTGTCGAATACGTTGAGCAAGAACAAGTGACACCTGGAAGTTTAGCCCCCTTTCCAATCACTCTCTAAGCTCAAGATGCAAAGCCTTAACAGCTACAGTGGAATTTTTCAGTTTAGAAAATTGTATGTTTGTTGAGTCGAATATATATTGTAGTTTTCCCCAAAGGCGAATAAATGTATGGACGAATGTTTGATTTTCAACTCTGAACAATCTAGCTACAAAGACGCCAAAAAGAGGAAAAGAGAAAAGTGTAAGAGATATTCGTCTACCGCTGCGTTACTTCCGGTTTCAACTGTTAAAATTTTTACGGATATGTGTTCAGCTTGTGTCATAACTTTAAAGGCTTAAAGTAAATATGCATGACTTTTTCAATAGAGACATCCTCGGCTACTATAGAGAAATAAATTCTTGAATAACCAACCGAATTTGAGCAGTTACAAGCTATGGCCGTTTCGCAGTTTAGAACTAAGAGAAGTCAATACTGACGCAAAATCCATCTACTTTAAGCATAAGACGCTCATGATAATTCAACGAGCTCTTTACCCTTTACCCACCCTTATGCTGCATGCTTTAGACAAAATATTGATAGAAAGCAACAATTTTAGTCACATACCACGTTGCCCATTTGGTGATAGATGTCTGGTCAGCTCCAAGGCTTAAAGTTCAGTACCCGAGATTTTTGTATACTTGGTTTACCTACCACGATCAATCACAACAACTCTACCACCTTCTAGGCATCCTTAAGGGGATCAGAGAAAATGGACGTATGTGTTCCCAGGTTCCAGCGCTTTCCTTCTTGTCCTACTTCAAGAATAAACTCCCAAAAAGTAACGCCGCAAACTAATAAATAAACCTTCCGCTGCTTCGTTCACGTAGAAGCCCTAAGGCTTGTTTTGTAGCTCACAGCGGCATGGTCAGTGATTGTTAAGGGTGTTGTGTGTAAACTTGATGGATTTTTGCTCAGCACTTTTTATTGTGACGGTATGCATTGACTCTCAAAGTTCTCAAGGGGGTCTGGGCTCCCTGCGGTGAATTTATCGAAGCTGACGAAGGGTACATTGGCGTCATTTTAAAACCGCAAAAAATACCACAAAAAAAGGACGAAAACCGTAAAACCACAATAAAAAGGGACGAAAACCGAATGGGTCAGTCGTCTGTCAAATTCAACTCGAAAATAATTTACAACCGGCCTCACAAAACGTGTTCAAGAACTATTTCATTAATGGACTAACACAGCAAAAACGATAACCTAACGGTGTGATAACCTAACTGTTTTTACCGACCTAATATATTTAAATGTAAATGTAAATGAAAATAAATGCAAATCAATAGAAATGCAAAAACCGAACGTTCGTGGCTAACGATTGCTAGTTAAAAGTAAAAGACACTTAAGCCGAAAACGTGCATAGTTGGAGGGAAAAAGCCTACTAACACAACTTAAAAATGGTTTCAAGGCTTTTATGTGCTAGATCCATTGCGCATCGAGGTAGTTTTCATGTGTGAAAACCCGCCATTTCTGAGAAGCAATCAATCAGCTTGAAATTGCCAGCTTTTCAAAACAATAACAAAGCCTACGCTTGAAGGTTGGCCTTTAAACCCGCAACTAAAAGTACACCCGTTGACAAAAAATCCCTTTGAAACCAAAACGAGCACTTCGGGTTGTGTCATCGGTTTGAAGTATCGGTGTAAATCGGGAGTACTCATGCAATCTCGTGTCCAGAGTCCTCGGGCTTTTTGGTAGGCGGGTGATCATTTTTGGCGTTTTCCGCTGACCAAAGAGTCCGAGGACTCTGAGTACGAAAATTGAGTACAGCTTACCTCGTTCCAGTTAACGCCCTTGAAAAAAGGGTGAGAACGAATCTGCTCACTACGACAGACTTCGCCTCGCACCAGTCTACTGATCAAATCACTGGCGGAAACAGAGAGGCAACTGAAAATGGAAAAAAAAGAGCAAAATAAATTGCTAGTCAAATAAAGTGAAAGTCTGAAAATCCCTAAAAGCAGCTCACACTGACAGTCAAGGTTCTCATTGTCATCGTTGTATGTCGCATGGATAACAAGTGTACGTTTGTTTTACTTAAGTATGATCTGAATTTCACAAAAATATACGTGTCATTCAGTTTTTGCTATTTTGAAAATAAGTTATCTGGAAGTGAAGAAACTTCAAAATATTGATTTAGTAAAACAAAAAACAGGAAAGAGGGTTAAGGGTTACGAATGGATGAGATTAACGTGGATTATAAACGTCAAACGTGTACTGAAAATTTAGCCTAAAATTTTCAAGATGCAGAAACCGTAGCACGACGCCTTTAAGGAAGTCGTTTTTATATGGATATTCATAAAGCAGATAATTCTGGAGTGAACCTAGTTATATGGTTTTGAAGTACGGTAACTCGCACAAATGGCTCAGGTTTTATACAATTGCTTAGGTCCTGTCCTTTAAGGTAACTTATCACAGGACTGCAAATAAGAAAAGAAGACCCTATTTAAAATAACCATTTTACCCTATCAACCAAGACCTACCTAAATAGCTTATACATGCAGCTAATTCAAAAAACGTTGACATCAGCAAAGCGCAGTAGGCAATACCGTGACCCAATACATTTACGGTATTATTACAGGAACGAAATATTTGCATTTTACTTTGGCAGAAAACAAATGCACGTAAACTGTTCATGATGACAAACCTTACAGTAACGATCTTCGCCGGCGCGCCATTTGTTCAGAGGATGCCGTTTGAGCTCCTCTACGCTGAAAAAAACGCGACACATTTTTTTTTTTCAGTTGATCTTGATACGTAGAAGGCTCCGGCTCTTGTTAATTTTCCTCAGCAGCCTATTTGCTCAAAACTTTTTACAACGAGCACGTACTGCTTTTTAAGAATTCATGATTATTGCACACAAATTTCCTTCCGTTCTGGTATTACCTATTGCGTTTTGCAGATGGAAACTTTTTTCGAAATAGCTGTACAGTCGACTCCCGATAACTCGAACCCTCGCTAACTCGAACCTCGCGCTAACTCGAACCAAAATCGATTTCCCCTGGATTTCCGTCCTACTTTCATTGTAATTTTACCCTCGGTAACTCGAACTCCCGCTAACTCGAACCAATTTTCGTTTTCCCCCAGGTCATTTTCTATATAATTTTACCCTCGATAACTCGAACCATGTTTGGAGCCCTTAAAAAGTCGGGAAAAAAGCCGTCTATTGGCGTCCGAAACATTGAATTTTGGATTTCCTATTAACGTGTTGTACGAGTATAGTTTACTAATGGAGGCTGATGTTGATTGTCACAGGCTAACGTAAAGCAGCTTCACTTCTCAAAACAGTAAACGCATGCTCTATTTAGGCTATGTTTTGTTACGTTACGTTCTGATTTATAATGTAGAAGTATCTTTTAATTTTCACTTGACATTTCTACAATTAAATGTGATTAAAATGTTCACCGTGCAGTAAAAACTGTTTTTTACCTTACTCTCGGCTATTTTCTTCGAGCTTCCGATAACTCGCACCCCCGATAACTCGAACTTTTTTCGATTTCCCTTGAAGGTTCGAGTTATCGGGAGTCGACTGTATATGTCAGACCTCAACCTAGCTAAGCCAATCGGAACTCCAGTCCTCCGTCATAGAAAATTCTTCGCTACTTTTCGAGTGTTTGAACAGAAACGTCACGTAAACGGATCTAATTACGTCAATTTTACACAATTGTGCCTAAATAAATCAACAAAAAGGTTTTATTTATTTTGATAGCGTTAAGCACTTTATAGTCATAACTGACGGAGACTAGGGCAGGGCTCTGTTTTTCTAGATTTCGTGGCGGAAAAAAAAAACATCACCAGGGCAGAGTCACGGAAGCTTTTCGATCGAAACGTGCTTCGTTTTTATGCTTACTGGCTTAGCCTGTACGCACTGTATGTCAAAGTCTGTGTGAAAAGTCCCTAAGTCCGATTCTATTGTCTTCGTAGACTAAGGCGTGAAAGTGTAATCTTCGGAGCAAAAGCACCGGGTACGCGCGCCCATTTTTTTTGACGATTTTATAGATTCTTTTCCTTTCTTTCTTATGGCCACTGGGTTTCCAGTCGAACAAAAAAAGACATGCAAGACTCAATTTTAATGATTACCGTGTTTTTTGTTTCTCAGCTATTCTTCATTAATTAGCATCAGAGATAAAACTCGACCGTCGAAAATAATAACAAATAAAATTGTTCATCTATTTTAGGGTTACATGGCGTTTTATTTCAAAGGCATTGACTTGAGCAAGTAAGAGGGCAGGAAATACTTGGTTATTACCTGATTGGGCAATATGAATAGCATAATACACTGACCAAACCACTAAAAGAAACTTTCGTAGGCCAAAAAATCCTATCTAATTAGGAATTTAGGGAAAACGTTGAGCCTGTAGCTCTTAAGTTTAACCAATAGGAATTTGTGAAGTTTTCTAATTTCTAAAATCTTGACTTAAAACGATAGGGTTCGTTCTGCAAAGTGGTTCTTGAGTATTGTGGAATCCTAATTAACAACCTTTGTCTGTCACTGAACGGCAATTAACTCAATTTCTCTTACGTGGCGAAACTACATGGTCAAGTTTTTGTCGGAAACTGTCCAAACAAACCATACACTGCAATGGCACCAGCGCACACAGAGATAAGACAAGAAAAGCTTAGAACAGACTTCTAGGTCACTGAAGCACCAGAGAGTTTTATCAAGTACCACCTAATGAGCAAGGAATGAGGTGCTAATTACTTCTTAAAAGTATAAACCATAAGGCCATTAGCTTTACCTGAGGTTTTCGATAAAACTAGACTTCTAGGTGTTGTACATACCGGTCATTTGTCACAGAACTTGGAGAGTTTTTCCCAGTCAGCATGGTATAGAGCACACTTCCAAAAGTTCTCCAGTCCTCTTGAAAATCAAAATCACTTTTGGGTTCGTGGTTGTTATTACACGGGTCACCATGGGTAAATCCATGAAGCGAGCAAACGCATTCTCGTTTACTCCAATAAAGCTTGCCGCAAAAATTTCGCCACAACATTACATGTCCACTAGGTTCAACATACACTGTGTCCAGGGATAGTTCATTGTAAGTAAGACCAAAATTATGCAATTCCTCCAAAGCTATCAACGCCTCTGCGGCGTAAAACCGCGCTTGCGGTTCCGGGAATGTTCCGCCAAATGATTTAGCGCGCTGCGAGAGAGTTTCCTTGCCCGGGAAATCCAAAATGTAGTAGAATTTCGACCGTGTCTGAAACGTGAACCGTAAATTAACCAAGAATGGAGAGAGACGCGTCGTGGGTTGTTGTACATAAGGGCTAATCGGCGCTTTAGAGCTGCTATCCCGCGGAGAAACTTCCATGGTGTAAAACATACCGGTTTCCTTGTGCCTGACATGGTAAAGCTTAGACAATTCATTCTTCTGAAGAAACTGCAAATATTTTAAACAGAACTCAGAAGCGTTATTATGAAGTGTTAAAAGCAAATATACAAAAGAGAAATAACTTAAACCAGAATAATTCTCGATTGGGACAAATCGCAGGCGCCGGTTAGATACCGTCCCGAAAACTTTGTAAACTTCGATAAAGTTTTTGAAAGTTTTCTTAACTTACCGAATCGACCTCGAAACAGTCTGTTCCGTGGACTTTTCCATCAGTCATGTCCAAGATCTTGTTAAAATCCCTCCGTGAAGCTAAGTACACAAATCATATGTTGTCCAGTGTAGTTCGTGCTCTTCTCGAAAGCGTGAATTTCGCCTCATACCGATATATCAAGCAGCCGTGGTCAGCGAGTGTGGGGATCGTTACGCTACCGCAAAGCGCTTAGTTGCCAATCGCCGCGATTTGCGGGAAAAAACTACATCTCGAACAGGTGAATATTCGCAAACGTTTAAACAAATTCGTGTGGATTAGAACAACTTTTGTGCAGACGGCAGAATTTTGACTTGTGAATGATAACACACGCTTACGAATGCGTCATGGTACCGTAAACCAATCAGCGATAAGAAATTTACCTTTGTTAATGAGGTCCAACTCATTAAACCTCAACAATTATTGAGTTCAAATTAGCTGTATGAATCCTCTAACAAATTTATTTTTAACAGAAGTAAAATTGACCGCTACTCCCGCTCAAACAACGTTGAATTAAACGAAACAAGCGGATTTTCCTAGATAAATATCATCTAAGCGGCATTTATGGAAAACGGGGTTAAGTTTATGTCAGCGAATTTTGCATCACAAAGGTTTTCTACTTTGATGTGCATAAATAACTGAAACTTAACAAAAGCTAATAAGTGTACACAGAAAGTGATAAAAGATATAGGTACTTAAAGTATCTTTAAATGGCGCCCAAAAAAGGCTGAAATTCCAACTCTGGAATGATTTAAAAAAAAATTGTTTGTACTGAGTAGAAAATGCACTGCCAATTTTGACCTTTTCCTCTGTTTTTGTTAATCCGATAAAATTATTAATGGCAAAAAGCTAATTACTTGCAACTAAACAAATTTTGGTTAATCTGAGAGACAGCGCGCATGTTGAAGACATTTCAGTTGGCACCAGATCGTTTCTTCACGAGGCCTATGTAGTAGTTTCTTTCTTGTGTGTTTCTTCAGCGACCTAACGCACGTTCTTGTTGAGCAGTCAACTTGGAACTAGAAACAAAAGCAATTAGCTCACAGTTTGACGTATTTAGTGTCCATGTACAAGAATTGCATTGTTTTCGCCGTGGGCGAAAGATATCTATATCAACAGAGGCATGTATAGTCAACACAAAAGAAAAAATGACGATTTTAGGTACATCAAGGCGCAAAGACTTTACAAAATGTATTCACTACTCGCACGCGTCATCTGATTTTAAAAATGACTGTGATTTATTAAACCTAGTTCAGAAGCCCAGTTGTTCAGTTGACCATTTCTAACCTTGCTGATTAAGAGATAATTCCTCAAAAAACCTTGCCTTCCGATGTACGACGTCCGATGTCCGCTCTCTGATGTCCCATGACCGATGTCCGACGTTTAATGTCCGATGTCTGATATCTGATGTCCGTTGTCCGATGTCTGATATCTGATGTCCGTTGTCCGATGTCTAGTGTCTGATGTCTGATCTCCGATGTCCAATGTCTGATGTCCGATGTTTAATGTCCCATGTCTGAAGTCCGATGACAGATGTCTGATGCCCGGTGTTTGATATCCGACGTCCGATGTCTGGTGTCCGATATCCGAGGTCTGATGTCCGATGACTAATGTCCGACGTCCGATCACTGATGTCGAATATCGGATTTACGATGTCTGATGTCTGATGTCAGATGTCCGACGTCCAAGGTCCAACGTCCCATGTAAAATGTCCCATGACCGATGTCTGATATCTAATATCCGACGTCTGATGTCCGATATTCGAAGATACAAATACTTCACAGTTAAGATACGTGAGTGACAGACTACGCAAAAAGTCAGCTCCTTCTTCTCCTCTTATAATCAGCTTTAGTTTTCTCTGTTGTACGCACGCTGCCATCTTGATAAAGTAGTAACTTTAGATTCTGTAAGTTCGGAGAAACGCCAACGTTGTAGAAATCACAGAAAATTTAACCCACACTGCGATCTACTGTAAACTGAGTTTTGCACTGGCGAATAAACTTTTTGTCTTAAAGTGTAATTGCGTTCTGCTTTGGACGGAAAAGAACGCACAAAAATGTGTTCAGCAAAACGTTTCATGAGTTTCCTCGATTTTTTGGACACTAGACTGGTAAATAAACAAGTACATCGCTGATAGACATTTATAACAAACTTGAATTTCCTTGGAGAGAAAGAAGACATGGCAGATGAGGTACAAAATCTTTTCAGTAACCAAGAACACAAACTTTCATGACAACACTTTCACTCTTTTACAAAGAATTTATTGTCAAAATATATCGGTTTCGTTACATAATCTAAGAAAATCTCCAATATTTGCAAAGTTTAATAATGCTAACGTACATTGTCATAAAGAAAACATTGCTTTCGAAAATGAACTTAACTACGTTACTACAAATATGACACGAATGTTTAACTGGGAAGGGAGTCTCGACCGTTCACATTACATGAACATTTAGCATTCGTAACCTTGCAAAAACAGACTTGTAGGTTTTTAGACATCTTTTTACACAAAATTCAAAAGACGTATTCATACTAAATGAATTGTTTTTCGTTTGAAGTCAATTTTTACACAAATTTTCCATGCTAAAAGGAAGCCTATGTTTAGTTCTTTCACAAATTCCATGAACGAAAACAAAATTGGAGCATATTTGAGTTTCTTTTGAATAAAAAGGAAAAGAAGTTGGTGTGAACTAAAAAACAAAAATATAAAACGTCATAGGCCATGATTTAACCCAGTTTTACGTCTACATTGGTACTTACGAATTTCTGGTTGGAATAGTCGACAAAAAATTCTCAAACACAAAGCTACCTTTTTTCGTGCAATAACTTTACCTATTTCTCACGATAAACTTTAATTTACAGCACTGCAAACCATGAATTACCGTTCTCTTTCTAAACCTTTCCGGTAACTTTGCGAGCAACTGGTCTTCCGGGACAACCAACCGCAGTTTGAAAGACTGAAGGCTTAGATTAAGAGAAAAAAAGGAATTGATGTCACAGATCAAAAGCAGAAAATTTTCAAGTCTAAAATCCTAAAGAACTGTTTTCTCCTCAAGACATAGTTCCAAACACCGGATTGTGACGGCAAATGCTGGGGCCATGTTCGTCATAATCTGCTTTGGTGTGGCACACTGTGTAGAACTCGGGCTAAAAAATAGGAACGGAACAATGTAAGGCCAATTTTGAAACAATGTCCTGGGTAGTATTTAAACAACTAAAGTTACTGCGGGTCTACTAGTTGCTTTTACTTAAACGACAAGAGTTAAGGATTTCATTCACAGACTCAAAAGTTAGAACCACCTTGTACAGCATAATAAACAGTACCACAGGAAAGTACTGCTCAGTAGCTTTCATTTGAATGGTCACATTATAGGATTTCATCCACAGAATCAGAAGTTAGAACCACCTTGTACAGCATAAGCTGTCATTTGAATGGCTCAAAATTTAGAACCACGGGAAAGTATCAGTAGCCTTGATATTTATTGTCGCACTTTTCTTCGTTTTCACTGAGTCACTGTTCTTGCTTTTGTGCGCTTCAAAGACTCATAAAAAATTCATAAAGAAAAAATAGAAATTAATATTAATGAATGTCCTTAAATCTGATAAAAACATGGCTAAGCTTTAGGTCCAATCTTTTAGACCAAAATCTGAGTATTAGTGCAAGAATGAGTTGATCTTTATCAGAGATTTTGAAGCCGTTCAAAAAACTCGCAGTCGTGTATTATCAGGTGTAAAAACTCTCGGCTTCGGCCCGAGTTTTTAAACCTGATAATACAATCCTGCTCCTTTTTTAAACAGAACTTCAAGGAAATCTTTAAAATATTGCCATTTGAAGCAAATAACAGATCGTGACTAACCACTCTTTCTAGAGCTGCTACAAGGCTCATGTATATAAAGCTTACCGTTGAAGCCAACATACTTCCTCCAAACCAAACAGCATAGCGCTGCATGTGATGTGTAATAACTTGAGTTTCAATTGGTTTTGGCTGAAATTAAATAAATAAGTAAATAAACAAATCACTCTCCCAAAGATACTTTACCCACAACGCATTTGAAGAGATTTGAGATTTGACATGCAGTTTTTTCGCGTATTCTAATAAATAAGCATCCCGGAAACCTTGATTTTCCTTACCTGAAGTTAGCACGGTTATTTTATTGGTGAAGATTAAGAACTCTCTATATCACAAAATGACAAAACTTCTAACATCCGATAACTTGTTTCCACCATTAAGACATTTTCGCTAAAACTCGTAGAAGACAAGTTTCCCGCCAAAATGACGTTGGTTCACGCGCGCGCACTAAATAATATTCAGAAAATCTCGTACTCCTAGTCGTCCTCATCCTAGATTCTAGAGGTCTCTACATTCTAGCGTTTACCACTGCACTTCAACCTATCCACGGTCTGCATGACTGTTGGGGTTGTCACACAACGCATTCCCCACTGATGTCGCGTGACCACCTTAGGTAGCCTGAGAAAACAGCCGACATTTCGCGACGGCAACAACTGTTTCCCGCCAAAATTTCATTCTGATGACCTGTAACTACCCAGATCTGGGTAGTGCTTCTAATTGATTGTGCCGTGAGAGAAATTTACTTTAACCAATCAGACGCACCCAGATCTACCCAGATCTGGATAATGACACTTAATCAGTATGGAATTTCTGTGCTTGTTCTTTAGACGGCATTTCGCGGGGAAACCGTTGATGACCTCGCAAAAGGTCGGCTGTTTTGTCCGGCTACTGCACAAGACACTGTATATTTTGATGTAACGGAGTAATTTCAGGGCAAATTAAGAAAAGCTTCAGTTGATAACAAGGTTGTTTACCTTGATGCGTCCTCCACTAAGCTGCTCACTGAGTTTCAAGCGAGCGTCCACTGCGCGCTTTATGTCACGCTGCAAACGGCGACCAAAGTCACGGAACATGGTGGAGCCTCCAGAGAGCACTATGTTCTGGCAGGCAAGTAAACACAAAATAAGCAAATGTCAAATGCTCAAGGTGGCTGAAACGGTAGACACCTAAAAAACAAACATCTAGATATGCACGAGAAGGCGATCCTTCTTACCTTGTAAAGAGGCCTACGCACATCAATAGGGCAGTTTTGGATGACGTCGTCCACAACTTCTGACAGTGGAGTGGTAAAATCTGGGTTACAGAACTAAAATAAAAAGCATTCAGTTTACATGTAAAACATCAGAGACAAGCCTACTGAGTTTAAAAATTCAAAAGTCCACAGAAGGACGTTGTTTGTACACATACTTTACAACTACTGTATTTACTCGAATAAGCACCGCGGCGTTTATTAAATTTTTCACGCCTCAACTGCGGACTGTGTTGCTTATTGGAGTAAATACGGTATGTACAAGCCTGCAGAGGATTCCCTTACCTCAGGGTGGAAAAAAATTTCTGGGCCCAAAAATCGCTCATAACCCACGTCAACTGAGAAAGGCTGTAGAATGAAAAATTGAAGAGCATCAATACAGAACATTCACTGGCACTTAGGTGCTCATAAAAAATGACCGCAGTGATTTTGTTACCTCTGCGCCCCGCGTCCCTGACGCATAAAAATCCCCAAAGATCGATTGATCGATCTGAAGAGGTTTTTGTAAAAATATCGTGTTTGTGTGATTTCTGTGGCTGTTCTTGTGGCTGTTGTTAAAAAACGCTTACTTCTTTTAGTCTTTGTTTGCTTTACAATAGAGGGAGTATATCTTTATTTCAGTAAACTGCAATACAGAGTTTTGGAGTCTCTCTTCAGATTAACTGTGTGGTTAGAAAAGACCCAGGGACTCACTGTTTTTTGAACCGGGACTCATCTTTTTTTTTTTCAAAATGAGTCAGAGGACTGACCATGACTATTTGTAACAAAATCACTGAATGACCTGGAACTGACTGTGAAGTTTCAAAAATCATTCATCTTATCTAAGTGGAAGGGCCTTGGAATAGGAGAGGTTTATGGCCATCTAAAGCTGACCAAATTTAAAGAAGGTTTCATTTACATGTAATCATTTAATTCTTACTGCTTATCTTTCGTTTCAGTTTCATTTTACAGGTAATTTCATAAATGGGTAAAATATAATCGTTTGGGCGAGCGTAGTCCTGTTGACGGTGACTGACGTTTCTAGACCTGTGCGGTTGTCATCTTCAGAGTCAAAGTGAATTGCATCACGTCAGTTGATCGTAATACTCTGGTTATTGACCTGGCTCTATCCAGTGGACAGCATATCGCTTTCCCTAACACTTATCCGTTGGAGAGTGATTTATCTGGTGGATAGCGCTATCCAACTTTTGAACAACTGGGGCCTGATGGTCAATAAAGTCGTGATGTTATTGGTCATGTGTCAGTTAAGCCTTGACGTTATTGGCTATGAAGACTCCTAATGTCATTGATGCATTTCGATCCGTCTTTTGTCACAATCAACCCTTTAAATCCCAATAGTGACCAACAACAATTTTCGCCAAACGATGTCCATAAATTGTCAAGAGATAAAGTTACGAGAACTAATAAAATGATCACCAAAGAGAAAATGCCTTGATCCTTTATCAAATTCTCTCAACTAATTCTTTAAAAAATGTACGAAGGTCAGTTTGGGGAATTTGCATGTGGATATTGGGGCTTAAAGGGTTAAACGGTCATTTATTGGTTTGTCAAATGGTCAGTTGTTCAGTCATTCTATTGTCGTCAGTTTTGCTTGAGTTGGTCAATAAGTCGTTTGTACAGTGCCAGTAACAGCTGACTAAAATTTAAGTAATTTCCTTAGACTGTATCTAAGCAAGACCAGGAAAATGAATAACAATACAAGTTATCTTTTTGGATTCCGAGCTACCTTTCTGGTGATGGCATTTACACTCTCATATTTTTTCATCCATTTGCCTGGCTCTGCTTCATACTTAGCAAACTCTTTAGCAATGTCAGGACAGATGTAGCCCCAGCGTTCCTGAGAAGAGAACAACTTGAGTTTGAAACTGTCCTTTCAACCTTACGGTCAGGAACTTACATGTACATAATACACCAAAAAATGAAAACTTTCCAAACTTGGACAAATAAAGGCAGAAAAAAGTTGCATGGTTATACCCAACAATAAAACTGATAATTCTTGTCTAGAAAGTCTCTGTTAATAAATGATGTAATTATCCTATTAGGACCACACATTCTTAACACTTGGCCAAATCCGAAGTACAGGGCTAGAGTGGGAACTATAAAAAAACATTTTATTGCAACACTAAAACCAAATAAACACTGCAGGCAATATAGCCCCACACAAACGCCCCCCCCCCCAAAAAAAAAAACCCATAAAAGAAGGATGTTTTATTCAGTCAATGACACAGGCGGCTCAAAAGAGAACATCCAAGTATTCCCCACTGAAGATTAAACTAAAGACTAAAAAAGATTCCTTTTTCACAGACTGGTAAAAAAAAAAACCATCTCTTCTTTTTCTCAACAGTCCCCTTTTTTTTAAAGTCCCATTAATTTTTTTCCATTAGGCCCACAACATCTAAACCTACGCTCATATCCGAAGTACAGCGCTAGCGAGGGAACGATAAAAAAACATTTTATTTCAAGACTAAAACCATATAAACCCTACAGGGATTATAACCCCCCACTACCCCCCCCCCCCCCAAAAAAAAAAACCCATATGAGAAGGATGTTTTATTCAGTCAGTGACACAGGCGGCTCAGAAGAGAACATCCAAGTATTCCCCACTGGAGATTGAACCTATGACTACAAGAGATTCCTGTGTCACTGACTGGTAAAAAAAAAAACGTCTCTCTCATGTATCGAACAGGCCCCATTTTTTTGAAGGCCGATCAGTCCTAACCTGGGGTTTAACTTTAATCTGGGTTTCTTCTTCTTTTATCCAAAAACATTTTCTTGGATAATTTTTTTCTACTCTTTACAGACCATCCAATCACCAAATTGTAGACGGAAAGAATTTACCTGAATTTGTTTTTTTAGTTTTCATATCTCTGAATTCAAATTCACACTAACCCTGGGTTTTCTTAACTCAGCTTTGAACAACCTGGCCCAGGCTTTAAAATTTGCCATCACATTTTTATCACATTGCTGGAAAAAATCTTCAACTCCAGCCATCCTTTGGGCAGGTAGCTGTCGTGTTTTGCTTGCCTGGGGCCACTACTTGCTTGTCTAAGCTAAGAATTTAGTTGGAGAATGACTCACCTGGACCCTTGTCCAATGGGCAAGTGGGCTTTAAATGTTACTTGCCCAGTAAGAAAATCTACTTGTCCTGGATTACTGGACAGGACATTTTTTTTGAGCCCTGCTATCAGAACCCCAAATGCATGACTGCCACAATACTGCCCCAAGACTGCCACTGACCAGCACTGTCTCAATTCTAATTCTTGATTCCAATAGGTGAAGTGTTAATAATGACCTTACATTACCTTGATGGTTTTAGCAGTTTCCATAGACTGCTCTGGAGGGATGCCAGTTTCACGTTCACGAAGCAGCTGCTGCACAAAGAAAGTGATGTCGCGACCAGCAATTGGAATGTGCTTTATACAACTACCAATGACATATCCCTCAGCCTATAATAAGGACAGAAACTAAAATAGTTACAACAAAGGCTAAATGCAGACATCAAATCCTAAAATGGTGTTCCAAGGGTTGGGCCCCAGCGGGGGGGGGGGGGGGGGGGCCCCCCCAGAAAGAGTGTGGGGGGCGCCGCGTCTCCCCTTCGGGGGGGGAAAGTTTATTGTGGGGTTCGCAGTGGGTGTTTGGGGTGACAAGAGCTGGTTATGTTCGTCTCTGTGAGTGTTTTGATCATCATAAGAGGTGTGGAGTGGGTCTGAGGGGGAAAGTTTTACCATCTAGACGGCCGCGAGGGAGAGCCTTATCGATAACAAACAACAACACGCAAAAAAAAAAAAAAAAGGACGAACCAACAAAAAGAAAATAAATTTAAAAAACAACAAAAAAAAAACACCCCCCCAAAAAAAAAAAAAAAAAAAAAAAAAAAAAAAAAAAAAAAAAAAAAAAAAAAAAAAAAAAAAAAAAGTGGGGGGGCGGGGGGGGGGCGGGGGGGGGGGGGGGGGGGGGGGGGGCAGCTCCCATATAACAGTGATGGGGATACCCGTCGTCTCCCTTTGGGGTGTAAATTGCAGATTTTGGTTTCAATTAGGGTGTTTGGGATGGAAAGTCACTTTATTTGCCCATTTAGGTATCGCTTAATACTGTAAATGGAGAAATTTACAAAAAATGTCCTGACACTGACCACACAGAAACCTCCCTTAGGGGTCAGTTTAAGCTTGAGCCACACCCACACTGGTCTCCCTTAGGGGTTTAATTTGAATTTTCCGACAAGCATCCCACTTGCGTCACCTTCATATGGGAATCTCCCCAACCCCGCACCCCGGGGGTTAAACCCACTTACCACAGGAATGACGTGAGTAACACCATCCCCTGAATCAATAACTGTTCCAGTCAGGGTTCTTTCTCCTACTTGACGAGATGTCCAGGATGCAGCCAAAGCTAGCACAGCCTAGAGAAAAAAGAAAGGGACCTTTTTATTAATAGACCTCTCTCACATTTCTTTAGACAGAGATGCCAGCTTGAGGCTGGGGCTATATCCATACGAATCCCGAGATCTTTGACTCTGCATATTTTTTACCCCAATTATTATGAACAGGGCCGTAAACTGCTCTTGAGAGCCGTTTCAAATCGATGCAGTTTCAGTGAGCGGATTCACTCGTTTTGTGTGGATGGAAGGCTGATTTATGTGAAAAAGTGTGCAGTTTTAAAAATATCAGGATTTGTGTGGAACTAGCTTAAGAGTGACAAAATACAGTGATTTGTATGAAATATTTATGGCAATATGGTACTTCAAGCCTCAACTTCCTTTCTTTGTGTAGTTAAAAATGGTCTTTCAACCTCGAAAAAAAAAATATAATAATAATAATAATAATAATAATAATAATAATAGTATCGTCATCATCATTATTGTGATCACCTTTTCAATACTGAAAACAAAAGATTGAAATAGAAAGATTAAAACCAACTTACTGCAAAATAATATTATGAATCTCACCTGCACAGCAATATACAAGCCTGGGATATTGAATGACTCAAACATAATTTCTGAAAACAAATGAAACATGATAAGCATCACTGTTGCCCTTCTCAACACAGACAAACCTGTGAAGTAAACATGTTTGAAAAAGGTACACTTATTAAACCAAGTTAAACTTCTTTGTCTGCTAACTTTTCACAAGATGATCTCTCAAAACTGATGAACTGTTAAAAAAGGTACAGGGCTTAAAAAGAGTTTGCCTATAATTTAATACTATGTTGTCTGGCAAGTTGAATAAATGAATGAATGATAACTTTATTTATACACGGTTAAAAACATCAGTCTAACAGAGAAAATTAATTAAAAATTCTCAAAAACTGTTTTACATATTTGCCGTGTGATGATGTTATATGTTCTGTTATATAACTGTTATCAGACATCTGATGTCTGATTTTACATGTTATGTTGTATAACTGTCATCAGAGGTCTGATAACAGTTATATGATGTCAGACGTCTACTAACAGTTATATTACAGCTATATTACAGTTATTATCAGACATCTGATGTCAGACGTCTGCTCTCATATAACTGTTATCAGACGTCTGATGTTATATGTTCTGTTATATAACTGTTATCAGACGTCTGATGTCTGATTTTATATGTTATGTTATATAACTGTCATCAGAAGGCTGATAACAGTCATATGATGTCAGTTGACTTACATCATAAGTGTTATCAGACGTCTGATATGAGACATCAGATGTCTGATAACAGTTATATAACAAAATATGAGATCAGACGTCCGATAACAGTTATATGACAGCATATGTCTTATATCAGATGTCTGACTTTAGACAACTGACATCATATAACTGTTATCAGACGTCTGACATCATAAGTGTTATCAGATGTCTGATATGAGACATCACATGTCTGATAACAGTTATATAACTAAATATAACATCAGATGTCTGATAACAGTTATATGACAGCAGACATCTGACATCAGATGTCTGATGTCATATAACTGTTAGCAGACGTCTGACATCATATAACTGTTATCAGACGTCTGAAATTAGACATCAGATGTCTGATGACAGTTATAATTATATGAGATATGTATGATATCTGATGTCTAATGTCTGATGTCTGATTGATTATTTCTTATGTATGATGTCTGATGTTTGATGTCTGGTGTGTGATGTCTGATGTCAGATGTCAGATGTCTCATGTCAGATGTCTGAAGTCAGAAGTCGGACGTCTGATGTCTTATGTCAGATGTTATAAGTCTGATGTGTGATATATGGATGATGTTTGATGTCTGATGTCAGACGCTAGAGGTCAGATGTCTGATGACAGATGTCTGTATGTCTGAATGATGACTGACGTTTGTTGTCAGATGTCTGATTTGTGATATATGTATGTCTGATGTCTAATGTATGATTTCTTATGTCTGATGTATGATGTCTTATGTTCAATCCCTGGTGGTAAATATTCAATCCACATGCACTGACTAAAGAATACTCAAGTTACCTGCTGTGTATTCTCTGTTTTCAGGAGTGTTTAAAGGAGGTTCAGTCTACAAACAACAAAAAATGATTTATTAGTAATAACATAATAAAATAATAATTTAGATCTTTGTTTAGTTCACAAGGGAATTTACATTGAAGCCAAGTTCATGTGAAAGAGTTATCAGGACATAGCTGACAAGAAAGGTCACTAATAAAATATAATTATTTTTGCATACATATAAATCAGTATGATGTGTTGCATTCGTAAACCACACAATCCTCCCAACAAGACAAAAACAGCACGAAAAAACAGCACGAAATAGAACTGTAATGTATTTTACTTACTAAAAGAAAATAGTGGTCTTCTGGCTCAGCCCGCAAGTATTTGAAAATACACTGCTCCCAGAATCGCTCCTGCAGATCAAAAATTGCAAAGTGTAGTGCTTTCCCAAAACTCATAAGAATTAAGCACAATCAACAGAACTTGTTACAAACTATCTATCACAGTCAACTCCCGATAACTCGAACCTTCCAGGGAAATCGGTTCAAGTTATTGAGGGTAAAATTATATAGAAATGATCTGAGGAGAAACAAGAACTACTTCGAGTTAACAAGAGGTTCGAGTTATCGGGAGTCAACTGTAGTTGCTTTGAGCTGTGACTTTCATACAAATAAAATATTTCTTGACGGTTTTTTGTACCAATTAGATTTTAGACCCCAGGTTTAATGACAACTGAAATCTATAGTTAAGCAAAAATGCCATATCACATAAATACTCATGACACAATGTTTAGAGAAGCAAAACCAGCGTACCATTAAATCCCAGTCTTCTACAATAGCATGCCTTATTGGCCACTGAAAAATAAATATTAGACAGAGAAAGTTAATAAGTGCTGTTGAACCTCCTGTAAGAGACCACCCAAAATGCAAAGATTTAGTGACCTCATACGGGATGTGGTTGCTTACCAGAATCAAACCACAGGGCGTCTCTTATGAGAATAGGTTCTGACACATCTACTTTTTAGCCAAGAATTTATAGTATGCAATTTCTAAGGGGGTTTACATGAGAAAACTCACGACGACGCGAGGTTCATACTGGGATGAATTTTTTATTTCGTATTGCGTTTACATAATGACTGGGTCATTTCATGCCTTGTTATTTGGAGGTGCACTTCATGTTGATAAAATACAGGTGTAATTCAAAATTGTAAACATCTACCAGCAGACTGATTTCACACCGAAACGGGTGGACGTTTGGCGTTTACATGATACTGTTGTGAGATTTCATACCGGAGTGAAATTCTCGCCCCAGAATAAGGACCAGGGTGAACTCACGCCAGGGTGAATTGTGCCAGCATAACATTTTTTGGTAGTATCATGTAAACAAATATAGAGCCATGAGAGGGAACCAGAGTGAACTCGCTCCTGGGCGAAAGTCGCCCCGGTGTCATGTAAACACCTCGTAAGTTAAATATATGTGTAGCTCCACATTTCATCACTGAACGTTCTCTGTATACTGAGTGCCATAGTATATACATTGAACAAAAAGACTATACCATACTAAATTGGTTGCTTACAAGAGGTTAAACACAATGGAAAAGATATTAACTGTCAGGCTGAAAGATTTTTGCGGTTGCTTATCACAGGCAGTCATTTATGAGAAGTTCTAATCATAGGGCTTTGTCCTGGAAAATTTTGGTGTCTAAGAGAGGTGGTTGCTTACCAGAGGTGGTCGCTAACGAGAGGTACATGTAATCATACATGGAGGCTTGACCGTATAATTAGGGAGCTTTTGCATCGAAGAAGGTGACAGCAGCGAAAACGTCACTTTGAAAAGGCATTCGAGTTATTTCAAACATTGTCATTGTTCCGCTGAAAATGTCAACTGTAATGGAATTTCACCAGAGTTGCTTTCTTAGGGACCGCACTCACGTTGAGAAAAAGAAAGAAAAAATCGTCGTCGCTTGTTTACGTCCTTCACAAAGCGCGAAATTAGGCAGTTTCACATGGTAGTCATGCAGTGACAGCAAAGAAATGCATAAAAAAGTGTGATGCATGTGCAAAGTTGTTGTTTTGCTTGACAAACCCATTGCTCTTTTCTCATTCTCGTTGCCGTCGCCGCCGTCATTGCTAAAGCTCCCTATTACCTTTACAGAACTGGCCAGAACTGACCAACCAGGTTAACATTACCTTTGTTGCATAACCAGGTTTGTCTATTCCCTCATCACCAATATAGAAATCTACCAACATAAACGAAAGTGAAGTTTTGAGTTACTAGTAATCACTTAAATGAAAATGTTTTTGAACAATAATGAAGACCTGCAGTGTGCGATGGAAATGTCGTGATCAATATAAAATTGACAATCATGAGACAAACGATAAACTAAACCCTTTAATAAACTTTTAGACAAAAAATCAAAAAGAATGATGAAAAGGTGTAAGCAAATTCTGTCTGAGAAACAGCAACAACTATAAATACAATATAAGCTTCTAGAGAAGCCTGATACAATGTCAGGAGACAACTGCTACACAGGGTATATTTACCTAAATCATCTATGCCTTTGGCAGCTCTTCTTTGTGTTTTGTCACCAATTTTAGCTGATTCCTTTATTGCAATAGCTATAAACAACAAAACAAACAAACTTGACCACACGTAAACAATCTAGACTAATAAAATTGTTACCCAGAGCTGTCACTAAGGTTTCCGGGTATTCTCAATAAGAAGTGTTCTCCTTATCAGGCGGTAACTGGTAAAATTTACCCCCTGAACTGAAGCAAAACTTCCTACCACCCGCAACTGCTTGAAGGTTTACTAAAAAAAAAGGTAGATTTTAGAAAAAGGAAGTTGTGATCCAATCCGATTCTCACAAGGAAAATGAATAAGTACTAAATTAAACACAGTAAAGTATACACAGCTTTTCTTTTTATGGGCCACGCATTTTGGAAAGAGATCATTGAAGACAGAGTAAATAAAGTAGAATCAAACGTTTTAAATTGTTGTCTCAAACGATAACAACGGCTGATTTGCATAAAATAGGTCTTAAAGTGAGGGAATGATTTTTCAGAGAACTTAGCTCCTAAATTTCCCAGCCTCTGGCGCAAATTTTTTGTTCTACTGGCCATGAATGGTCCCTGACATGCTGAGGTATAATTTAGGAGGACAATGAATACGTAGGTGGGAAATTGAACATCTAAGAAGTTCTTTAGCTTCTATTCTCCTTCCAGGAGTCATGTTCATAATAGCCAGTGGAAATCCCTGGCTATCGGCCCTCAGTGACAGCCCTGGTTACCAAACCTTTTTCAAGGATGTGAAGGGTTTATGGTCTATATTATTGTAAATGGCTTTGGCAAAGGACTGTAGCCTAGCCATGTATAAAAAAAGATTTACAGTCCACAGCCCACTAATGCTAATAAATGTTGATATGGAGATTGCACCTTTGTTTTATTGTTAGTGAACTCACACAACAGGACAGGAAAGGAAAGATGACAGCAAACCTTGGGTGACAAGCGAGACAATAATTATGTTTGAAAAATCCTTCTGCCAAACTTCACATTCCTTTAAAAATAACTTTTTGTAGAGGAGCAAAAAACATCGATGTAGAGTGAATTCCCAACAAAACACACAACTAATGGCCCTGTCACGTTCATGTTGTCACACTCAAGCGTTTTGCCGTCCTCCTTTTTCTGCCGTCCTGTTGTGTAACTTACTACTAACAAAGTGCTGCAAGATTATTGTTTCAGAATACAGATCTAGCCTTGATTTATTATGTGTGTGATGCAAATTTAATGTTGCACTTTTGTTCAAACTTTTGAAGCCTCAAAAGACTTTCTAAGCTGTTTGTTCTTCCACTGTCAATGAACCATTACCATTTCTTCCTAGCAAATTACTTACTGTTTTCCTCTGCCCACCTACATTCTGTAGATGAGCCAAGTTATTTGTGCGCAGGGGATATTTGCGTGTACATGTCCAGTTTAATTTAATTTCATTTCATTTGTAACTTCTATGGAGATCAATGAACATCAACAAACTTCAAACTTCAATAAACTTCAAACCTGTTGGCACAATATACTGCGGCTCAGTGTTTCCTGCAAAGCCCATTTTTGTATACCTACAATAAAGAAAAGGAAATTCAAAAATTGGTTACTTTTTAATTTCCTCCTCCTCAGTGTCAACAGTGAGTTTTTTTTGTCATGCTATGGATTTTATATAGAGAGTTCAAATAGCATCACTGTTGTGGGAATTTAAGCATGAGAAAACAGCTAACATTTCAGGGTGCCACCACTTATTTTCCTTTTCCCACAAAATGACTTCTGAGGAAAAAGCACAAAAATTATGCACTGAAGAGGTTTCCTTACCCAGATCTAGGTATTGCTTCTGATTGGTCATATTGTGAGGGAAATTTGCTTCAACTAATCAGAAGCACTACCCAGATCTTTACAGTTTTCAATACGGTTTTAAGTAGGAGGCAAAAGCAAGAAGGAAAAAGTTACTAGGGGTGCCTGGGGCGGGGGCTCTTAGAGTACATTTCCAGCATTCTGGAGCAAAAATTAAAGTAGTGTGAACAGAGCACAGACATCACTAAATTTTGACTTTTTTGACGGAAATTTCTAAAGAAAAGTAGGCGGCCAGTTAATGTGAAATACCCGGCGAATTTTGCCGGCTGCTGGCTCTTATTGAGAACTCTGGATCTTTGTGGTGACAATTCATCACTTGGGATTTCTGCAGCACTCATTCCTCAGATGTCATTTCATAGGGAAAGCAGAGGTGGTGTTCCAACTGTCAGCTGATTTCTCAGGCTAAGAGAATTTTCTTTTCATTGCTTTACAGAAAATATCTCATCCTCTAGAGAATGGAATCTGGGAACCTTGCCCGACAGTCCCTTCTCAGTGCATTCAATAGGGTCAGAATCATAAACAGTGCTGTCAACTCTCCTGGATAATCCATGAGACTCCAGATTTTGAACCGTATCTCCTGGCCTCCAGATTAGAGTCTGAAATCACCTAAATAATTGCCGAAGTTTGCCCATTTCTTGTAGACTCAACTATCTAACAATGAAATTTCAAATATTTTACATTGTTTGAGCTATTTTACTGTTAACATTGAGCGTTTCCTCATAAACTCTGCTATGCCATTGTAATATAAGGAATAACATGATTGGTGGGAAGTAAATCAATCAGGTCAAATGCTACAACATTCTAACAACATCTTTTTTGCGCTTTTTTTTTTTGGCAGAAATGACGTCATGTGCTGGCATTATGATGTCATCTATTATCCCATCCTTATCAATTCTCAATATTTATAGACATGGGGGTTGACAGCCCTGCATAAAGATGATCTTATTACAAATCCTACATTTGCCCTCACACACCATTAATGATCCTCAAGAATGCAGACTGTAAAACAGCAGTACATTTGCAATTTGTCATTTCTGACCACCTGCCTTATCAGATGAAAGGCTGAAGCAGGGTTTGCCTTATGGGTGCATAACATCATTGTGTGCAATGCAATGCAGAACCCATGCACTTGCCATTCATGCCTTTATGACAAGTAATAGCCTGGAATTTTATGAGAAACAACACAACTTTGACGAATGGTGTTCTCAGTTTGTGATGGCAAGTTGTCAGGATGGACATCAATAAATGTATTTGAGTTAAAAGAAAAGAGTAATTTTCAAGCAAAACCTTCTTTTACAAGAAATAATAATTAACATCATTAATAACGAAGGAAAAGCTTGTGCTTTCCACAATGTAGCAAAAATTAGCTTAACCTCACAACCTCACGTTTTGATCTACCAATCAAAGTTTGCAACACTTTAATCATAGCATGAACTGAGACAATAACACTTAAGGGCAAATCTGAGACTCTAGCTGAATTATTATTGAGACAGATATATCGAAAATACAAGTTGAAGTCAATCCTTAGCAAATTTGCATCCTGACATCCTTGTCTCGATCGACTGCTATTAAACTTACCCCGTTCCATTGTCAATGACGGCTGCCGGCTGCCTTCCCGTCATCGTGCAGTAAAATTATTCCCTCGTACACTGAATCTTGATTCTTGTGCAAAGTGGGTCAGTATCACGACAAAGACGGACTTGATTTTAGAAAAATTCCGAGCGGAAGAGCTGCCACTTCCAAATCAACCAAGATGGCGACCTGCCCACTGAGCATCCAAGTGCATTATGGGGGAAAGCGGAGGTGTGGTGCGGAAATGAGCTCTAGCAGGGGTACGCACGGGGAATATTTTTGCACGACTGACTTCCTTCTTACCGTAGTGCTAAAAGGGCTCCAAATCAACAGATCCCCTGGTATACCCACTTGCCCACTACGTTGAGTAATAATATTCTTAGGGGTCCTGGAGTTTCTGGGCAAATAGTGAAAAAAAGTTTTGAGTTTTGAAAATAATGATAATAATAATAATTAGTAAAATCCAGCTAGTGGTCTATCGTCAATGCTGCATTCTGATTGGTTGAGCTACTACTAGGCTATATGTTATGGCCTACTAGTAGCAAAAAGTGCGGGCTTTTTGGCGGCAAAACTGGATTAAAGTCTAGCTTTAACTAGCTAAAAGTTTTTATTCTCGATATTTTTGACCAACTAACTAGTTGGATTTTACTAAAACAATATTATTCCTCTCGCCCTCATGGCCTCATGGCCTCATGGCCTTAAAAGAATCCACAGAGCCACAAGAGTGACAGTAATACCCACAGTGATTGGTGTACTTGGAACTACCTCAAAGAACATAAAGGCATGGTATGAAAGGTTGAGTGTGCCAGATGTTTTTGGAAGTGGACAGTTGTCAGCCAGTCTTGCAGAAAGTGCTATGTCTCTGTGGTATTGCTGCTGAGACATGGCTGAGAAATACCAGAAAAAGAACTGGAGAGGATCACAAAATAATAACAAATACCATTTAAAAATTGAACAACTTTCAATGCTCACTTCAGCAAATTATTTTTTATTGATGGTCATTTATTATCCTTATTACTGTTTATAAAGATAAATTCTGGTACAAACAAAGAAAAACTGTTACAAAATAAATAATGTATGTATATACAGATTTCTTTACTATTTACTAGCTAGGAGTTTCAATAATAGCCAGTTATCTAAAGTCTAACACCTCGTACACGGCCTCCATTATTATTGTCTATGGATGCCTCCTGAGAGTTTATTTTTATTATTTATGAAGGAGAGACATACTCCTCCACCCTTTATAAAGATCATGAACAGCACTGTCTATGATGCCCAGAATAAATATCATAATGTAAACTACAAAATTTTTGAATTTCTAGATTTCTAGACCCCTTCTAATATAAGCCACTGACTCTACCATCGCAATCAGCTGAAAAGTTATTAACAACCCTGAATACCACACTGCCTTTCAAAGAAGAAAAATAAAAGTTATTAATACATGACCCTACTTAATTTTTGCTTTATTTGTGTTTTAATAATATTTATTGAAAAATTAAAATTCTAAGCTTGATCACCAGCTGCTCAGGGGGTTGGTTTCCTTACTTACTGAACAGTTGCTGGGAAGAATCAAGCCCAGCTTTAACTGAGTTCTAAATTCTACTTTTATCAAATAAGGTACATTCTTGTTAACGTCAGTGATCCTTAAAAAGGACTTCAGTCAGAGACTACAGTCCAGGGTCCAGAATTGGGACCAGCTGGCTGCTGATATGACCAAAAATTCAGTGTTGGTGACCAGCATTTCAAGGCTAGTTGCCAGCAGCTGACTGACTTTCAGTGCCTTGTCAATGTTTTGAACCAGCATTCAAGGAATTAATTTCATTTTAAATGGAAAAATATTGTTTCATTTCCAGAAGAAACTTACCCCTTGTTTTGTCAAAGTTTTTGATCTCCATAGAAAATACTTCAGGGCAAGAAAGTAATTCAAGATAAGAAAATCTAAAAAGCATCACCAAAGGTGGGAGGCTGGTTCAAAAATTTTGTTCCAAAGTAAGAGCAACATGGCGGTTAGCTTCATGGCGCATAATTACTTGGAAAGGCAGTCGCATTATAATCCTCAGTCTTCAAGCTAAGAGAGCTATCTTTTTAACAAAAGGTCCTTTTCAACTAAGACTTCTGAGATACACAATCATATAGTGCCTTTTTGTACATGGCAGTCTGACTTTTGCATTCGTTCATGAGTATAAGATGTTTTAAACGAAAAAGTCTTTTAAAACTTTGTTTTTTATGTGTTTTGCTGTTAAGCAAACATTTTACGAGCACTTGCTGGTGACCAGAATTTTCCGCCTGGCAACTGAAAATCACTTGGCACCTGCAGTAAAAAAGTTAATTTCGGACCCTGCAATCAACTCTCTTTGAGATGGACACCTTCTGTACCAGCACTGGGAGTCTGTCTTAGAGAGGTGACCATCTTATAGAGTCAAATAAAAGGAGTAACGAAAGGCACAAACCAACTCTAGGTGTCCAATTTTTTAGAGAGGACTGTTAAAAGAGAGTTGACTGAAGTTCACTTTAAGGATCAGAGAATTTGTTCATCTGTACATGTATCAAGTTGCCTGAACTGCATTATCTGGTGGTTTACTTGTTATTGTAACCACTGGCTGAGCCACTTCAACTTGTTCTTGATTTTCAATGAGATTCTCAGAACCATCTTGTCTACTATTAGCAGGAAGTGAGTTTGATATTTGATCTTTTTGAACAGATATCTGATCACCTTGTACACTGATATGTGCACTTGAACCACCTTTTAAGGTTGAATCAGTCTTTTCAGTCTTCTCTGCAACCTGATCATCTTCATTAAATTTATTTGCAGTGTTATATCCTGTACCAGAATTCATTACCTCAGATTTCATATTACTATTATCTTCCCGAGTGCTGCCATCTTTTGTAGATACCACAAGCTGCACTTGACTGGACTTTGATTTTGTAGAACTTGGTCTCGAGTTTGGTGGCGGCAAGGGTGTGGTTTCATACTGTTCATCTCCTTTCTTCTCATCTGACACACAGTGAGAAAATAGGCTTGGATCATTTGGATCAACATCAAAAGTCAACACATTCCCACTTCTCTTCCTTAAATTCTCCTTGGACATGTTACCTTCTAACCGCAAACTGGACTTTGTCGGACTTCTCTTTCGTTGCCTGGATTTTCCCGTATGCAAATATTTACTTGTTCCACTTACACTACCCCCCTCTGCGTCACAGAACTCAGGCTCGGCCAGCGTCAGAAGTTTTAGCCTGTTGTCCTTCATAAAATTTGTCTTTCGTCCAACATTTGGAATGGACGGCAGATGCGGCTGAAGAAGATATGTGGAAGGCTCAGAAGGGAAAGTAGAATTTGCATGATGCACTATCTTGGCAATGTCTTTATCACTCAAAAGAGGCGGCATTACAAAGAAACGATGATAATTTTCCTGTCTTTTGTGCACTGGTTTTCTAATCAAAGGCTTTCCCGACACAGCACTTAATTCGGGCTTTTCCTTACTCTGTAAAGCTTTGTGTTTCAAAACTTTTCTCAAATTAGCATTTCTGGCAGGGAAGCTTTGAGGTGATAGTTGATCTGAGGTGTCAATGTTTCGAATAATTGGTCGCTTCCGCGGGTATGTGATTTGCTTCAGGCGTTCCATGGCATTGATAAGATTGTGTTGCTCACGATGAATAAGTTCGTCTTGAAGTTTGCGGATCTGTAAAAAATAATGCGCTTGTTTCTCACATCCAGTTTTTGTGTCCTGAAACCACGGCTTCTCGATCGAAGGGCTGTTGCTTGAAGACATATTTCAATGACCACACACAGCTACAAAGCTTGAAGACTATGCCGAAATCAGCTTCTTTTTAGTTCAGTTGAAAACTATAAAAGAAGCCCCTTAAGACTCAGCTGCATCAAACAGATTTTCATTTCACATTTGACCGTTCACGAAGTCTTTGAAAGTTCTTTATAAACTCTTTGTAAGGAAGCGCACATTCAACTTTTCAACATGGCCGATAGACTCAGATTTATTGTTATGGCAACCAAGCCTTGTTACTTTACCTTGGAGAGAAAAGTACCCTGGGATAGCTTGGACTCGAAGATGGCGGCGAAAAAGACAAACGATTTCAAACAGGTTAATGTCGATCGTATTAGTTACAACTGGTAATGCTTTTGTTCAATTTCCGTGAAAGTACTTAAAAAGACGTCGCAAAGATAACGCCAGTTTTAATCAACTGTTTTTTAACGGGCACGGAAAATCGTCAAAAGTCCCCGGCGACAGATTTCCAAGATGACAGCTGGAATGATCAAAGTACCGAGTATAATGCCCTTGCGAGTTCCGCTCGGAGGAACCGGCAGAAAAAACATGATCGACACTCATACACCAATAGAACTTCGATCAGAAACACCAGACACTTTGATCTATTACACGATTAATGGAATGAAGCCCGAACCTTTCAAGCAACTAGGGATCAAGTGCACTTACAAGTACAACCGACCGTTTGTTTTGGGTCCGGGAAAGCGAACGGTAAAGGCAATGGCAACATCGAGTGATGGCACAAGAGAAAGCTCCATCGTCACGAAAACATTTCTGGTTGAAGAGCCTGAGGGGAAAGATGAGCTGGCAGATGATGTTTCTGAACTTCAACAAAGCATGTCTTCATCTACTGGGAATTTAAGGGAGTCATCTGGCACTTTGCTTGGACAGATCCTTGAGAATACCAAAGGGTCAAAGCTAAAAACTTCGGAGGCATGGGGAACTGAGGGGGGTTCTAAGCGATTTCTCACGTCAACGCCTGACAACTGGGAAGAAGTAAAAGGCTCAAGCTTCCGAAAGCCAAGGAGTGAGCCTAGATTTACAATGTCACGGTTTGCTTCAAATCAGGCAATGATAGGGACAATGGATCGGTCACCTTCTGAAGTTGACGGGGAATTGAGGGAGAGACGTGGTCCTGAGAACAGAGTTCAAGTTAGTAAGATTCAGCAGCAGACAGATTTTTTAAAATGCGTCTACTGTCTAGCACCCAGACCATCTGACCCTTATGCGAAGTTTTGTTCTGAGTGTGGCTCTCCTATTCCTCCGTTGCCATCATCCCGACTCCCTCCACCAGAGGGTGGACAGCTTGGAATGTGTGTCTCCTGTCACTCATTAGTGCCATTAAACACACCCACTTGTATCATCTGTGAGGCACCCATCTCACCCCAGCGTCAACCACAGGCAAGCAAGAAATTAGCGCATAAGTTAATGTGTTCAGTATGTGGCACAGGAAACCCACCTGACTTGAAAGTTTGTGTCACCTGTGAATCAAGGCTTCCTTATAATGCCAAACAAATATTTACTGGCACTAGTGCGCCCCCAAGGCCAAAGGACTCGATTAGTAGCATCATGACATGTTCCAAGTGCTCTCGGGTAAACAGCAGCGATGCACGCTTTTGCGACTGGTGTGGATCGAAACCACAGCCCTACCAAAGCCCCCTGATATGCTCTCAATGCCAGGCTTCAAACAGCGCATTTGCAAAGTTCTGTAATACCTGTGGATGTGGCATCGAACCCCCACCAAGAATTTCAAGGCAAAGTTCTGGAAGTGTGATTGGAACTATAGTTGAGAGAAGCAGCATTCATGATATGCGAGGAAGATCAGAAAGTGCAACTTGGTTGCCTGTCTCCATTCCTTCAACCCCAGCTGAGACAGCAGATAAAGGTATATTACAGTCGAACCTCCATGTGCGACCACCTCTCGTAAGCGACCACCTCCCGTGAGTGACCGCCAAGCAAGCTGTAAACTGAATTTCTTTGCACCCTGAGGTCCCAAGTTAAAAAGTGAGGTGACACTACTATCAACAGTATTTCACTGAAAAATGGCTAAGCCAAAATGTCTGGAAATTGAAAACGACAATTTGGGACTATAAATAGTGTTCTTATTATTTTCTGTATTTTTTCATGACCATTTGTATTTTTGCTGTTTTTGTGAATTCACGTGATGACATGCTTTGTCAAATATGTTCCCTATAAAATGCGGATACTTGTTTTGGCAGCCCAGTTTGATGCTTTTTGCCTCGTCAATTGATGTACAGAAATGAATTTTGATATTCAAAGTTTGTAAAGCAGTGAAGAATGATTTTAATTTTGCTTAAGCAAAGTCACATCAACTGGAAGTGGATTTTTTGCTTTCTTGGACATTGACTTTGCCCAAAATTTTAGACAAATCGTTTCTGTGAGACTAAAGAGACTTCAACAAAGTTCAAATTAATTTGTAAGCATCAAGATAATTTAAAAGAAAAAATGTCTCACTTCCAATTGACGGCAACGCTCAAAAACACCTTTTCTTAAGCTCCCTAAGGTCTCTGTCTTTGTTTCGTCTTTCCCCAGCTACTTCTACAGTCGGATTGTTCTACCCCTCTGCAACCAGCATCCAATCACAGTTTGAACTTGAAGCCCAGGAACGGAGTCGGCTCGAGGCTTCAAGAGACAGGAGGCCAGCACTAGCTGCTGTAAGTCCCGGTAAGGGGTTCTGGAGGCAACAGATGGACCATGTCTGCTCTCATATTCGTGCCCATGCTCAAAACAATCCAGATTTCAGATCTACCATAGGTGAGCCAAGGCTGGGGAAGATAATAACCGCTACAGTTCACGAAGACTTGAATGGAGAAGAGGTCACATTGACCGTGACCTTCGCGCGGAGAGATGGAAAGGAAATGTGGAAAGAGAAATCTAAAGCCCTCTCTTCCAGTCTGAGGGCATTGAACCTCTCTGGAAGCAGGGATGACTTGCAAGGGAGCAGGAGACAGACTCAAAATGGTTTGAAAACCACAGCAAAGGGAAAGAAGCAGAAACGGAAGGGAAAAGACAGTAATAAGGACAAACTAAGTGAAGAGGATAAGTTACTGTTAAAAGAGATTGGACCGAAAGGTACTTAGTTTAGTCTACTGTATTTACTCAATTAAGCGCCGTCCTCGAATAATCTTACCTTTCTTCCCCACCCCCTCCCCGCTCATTTACTCGCGTCATTTTTTGCGCGGTCTTTGACTCTCGTTCCTCGTTCTTTGCTCCGAAACCACATGGAAACGCTTGCTACTCAAGCTAACCTATTATCGTACACGACCACCCCCCCCCCCCCCCCCCCCCCAACCGCACCCCCCCACTTTGTTTTTTGGGGGGTGTCCCCCCGGGGGTGCTTCTTTTTTTTCCCAGCAGAGAAGGTTTTATTAAAGGAAAAATTGTAAAAAAAGTGTTTGGGGATGCGACATCAAAAAATAAAATACTAAAAATACCCATGCCCCCGCCTCCAAAAAACTCCCCTTTTCTCCCCCCCCCCCCCCCCGACATTCTCTTTGGTAATTTTTTTTGGCGGATTTTTCTCTCCGTGCCGCGTCTTTGTCCCCTAAACCCATGGAAAACGTTTGCAGTCCAAGTGTACCTTTTTTCGACCACCCCCCCCCCCCCCCCCCCTCCCCCGTAAGCGACCACCAACTCTTCGTATTTTGGGTAGTCGCTCACGGGATGTTCTACTGTGTTTACAACGTAGGAATGTTTATATGAACGTAAATTCTGCAAATAGGTCGTTGAGATCGAAGTCATCAACATATAAGATTCTAAAAATGCCGGTTATGCCCAGCTTAGTTTGTACATCCCAAGGTCGTTTACCAGGACCACCAGAAAACACCATTTCTTATGAAAGCATTCCACAAAATGCAGGCCCTTGTAAGCTATTCAATTTCGGCCAAAAGATGTACAAATACGCGAAATAAACGATCTAAGTGATTATTTCTTGTCTAATTTTTCTTTTAGGGGAAGGAAGAGAAGACGAAGTGCAGAGATTGCTTGACGAAGGAGCTAATCCTGAGTGTGTGACAGCCGATGGGACTCCGGCTATCATTGTTGCAACTGTCAACAAGCACTCAGACTGTTTTCCATTATTGGTAAACGCAGGCGCTAAACTGAATGCTAAGAACATGTCTAAAGGAAATACTGCTTTGCATGAAGCAGTGCTCCTTGGTGCAGATGGACTGAAGTGTGTTGATGCCTTGTTAGGGCTGGGAGCGCGTACCAGTGTGGCAAATGACGCTGGACAGACGGCGTATGACCTGGCGATGTCATCAGGTCTGGACAGTGTAGCTCAGAGATTCACTTCCAGTGTGGGAGATGAAATGCTGCAGAAACTTACCAAGCCGAAGAAAGTGAGATCTATAGATGAAGATTTCTAGTAGGAATATTCAAGGGAATTGATATGTTTCTTTAAGTTGTCTCAGAGTACTTTGCTTTGCTTTTTTTTTCAAGTAAGAATACGGGAAACAACTTCTACAGAGTACGTATTTTTTTTCTTTCGAAAAAATGCTTAGCCTTCAGAGCAGGCGTTTATTTTGTGGGTTTTAGGCGAGCGAAGCCAAGGCGGACATGGAGCAAAAGATGCGCGGAGGAATGAGCGCGAACAAAAAACGCGTCTCTCCAAACCACACGTGTCTCGCGCCCTCTACGCCCACCTTGCGTTTCCCTGCGCTTGCCTGAAAAACGCGAAAAAATTGGGCTTGTTCTGCAGGCAAGTATGTACTGAGCTAAGAATGATTGTAACGCTTGTGGATTTGAAAGGAATAATAAATATCACGTAAGTCAAGAATTCAACGTGTTATTTTAATGGGCAGTTGCTGCTGACAGATTGTTTTTAGAACGGGGCTCAATCAAGGAGGATTCGTCAATCACATACGTATATACGTATGTATACGTATGTATTTCGTATGTTTTATCCTTTTGAATCATCATCGAAGTGTGCCTATTCTGTGAGGATCCTGAAAATGGGGATGTCGTTTTCTGCTTCGTTTTGGCTGGGTAGGTCAGATCAGTCAACTCTACAAAGATCCAGGATAGAAAGTTGAAATGTGAGCCCTTCACAAACTAAATAGGGAACCAGGGAATAGCCTTGACTGGTTAAGTTTGTTGAGTTTACGTTACAGCCGTATATGTCCCCGATTTTGGATTAACCACCTCCCAAATGCAAGTCCCTTTCGATTCCGATTCTTCTTCCGCCCTCCCAATAATTTCATTCCCGAGCCGAACCGTGATCGAGATTCATGGAAAACGAGACGTAAGTACATAGTACACCCAATACAAAAACGACGTGGCGGCGACAGTGCACTCAGCCTCGTTCCCAGGCTAGGGTTTCTTTTCCACTCACCACTAAATGGAAGGCAGAGAAAAGAGATCAATCCTGAACGAGGCTGCAGTGCACTGTCACCCTGTGCCGTCACAGAGTTTGCAATGTCGCCTGCTCAGAAACTTTTGGCGGGAAAAAGTTTCAGTGTTAAACGTCATGTGACTTCGAAGTAGCCAATAAGAGCGCGCGTTTTAGGTGAAAAAGTCCAGCTATATTCACCATTTTCGCATAGACCATAAAGCACCTTGTTTACTCCCCCACCCCCACCCCTTGAAAGAAAAATTTTTGCATAACCATTGTCTTGGATTTCTCTTAGGGCGACTGTAATGCTCAGGAGAAATTGAAAACAATGGTTGTGAAAAATTTTTTTTTGAGGGGGGGGGGAGGGGGGTGAACAAGGTTCATTATGGTCTATGTGAAAGTAGTGAATAACAACATTTTTCTTGCTATTTGAGCATGCGCAGAGACGATCAAACCCAAGTTGTTAACAGTACATCACTGTCGATATCAGTGTTAGCAGGGACCTCCACCAGGTCTAACCGTCCACACGACACCTCCCGTGTTTTCTGGTCCTCTTTGGTGAATGCCGATATTTTTCGCTTAACTGAGTTGCTGACTTTAACTCTCACCAGTTCCAAGTCTGTTAGATCCATGTACTCAGAGATTTTGCGCCCTCCGGTGAAACCCAAGTTGTCAAAGGAAGTATCTGTGTTACTTTGGGCGACTATCAAACCGCCTGTTTTGCGTCTGAAAGAAAATACGATGAGAACTTAAGCCCAAGGAGGGGTTCAACATGGAATTGACTAAAAAGTTGTTGTTGTTTTTCTTGTACTGTTTTTTTGGACAACCAGCCTCGTTTGCAGGGCTTTTATCTCGACGGCAAAAGCCCTGGGAACGAGTTTGGAGCCCGATGTCGCAGTGATATGGGCATCCTCGCGTTTTGGGAATAGGGATGCCCAAAACGCGGGATGCCCGTATCACTGTGACACCGGGGTACTCTTTAGTAAAGTATGTGCCGCCAGGATCCCAGGTTGGAATAATGACAAGTTTAACTAGTTTAAAGCATATCAAAAGGAACAAACAGTACTCTTTGGAGGAGTAGAGAACACTATGAAGTGTTGCACGTGGTTTTCCTCACTCTCCGTTACATTGCTTCTCGTACGTTGATAAGTTTAAAAGGAGGCTGATTGTAATATACAAATTTATATGGAATTTTGTTTTCCCAGCAGCTAGCTACATTTCTAGCATCATCAAATGCACAACTGATAAGACATGAATGTTTAAACCAAGCCAGTGCCATAACGTGCAATGAAGGCTTTTCCTGGGAGCTCGTGGAGCCTAGAATTATCTGTGGTTATATTAAATGGGCTTTGTTAAATACAAATGAATTTTTTCCCAGTTTTCCCTTGGCTCGTTTAATCGTCCCAGTCTAGCTGCGCGTGCACGCTACTACCCCTGATTCGACATCAGTCGTAACTCACCTCTCCGTATTAGCGCGGGTTTAGATGGGAAGGAGGAAAGCGAGGAAGAGCTTTCCTCTTTTCTATTTTCCTATCACCCCCTGCTCCCGCTGCCGTGCAGCTTACGAAGAAGACTGGGGACTAGTCAGCAGCTACCCACTTTACAGACAACAGAATAATTGCAAGCATTCTGCGCTCCTTGCATGAAGAGAGAACTAAACGCTTACCGTTTGATTCGGACTAAGAAGAACAGAGTAGCGATCAAAATCAAAACTGACAATCCGCCGCCAATTCCTCCAGCAAGCAATCCCACTGGTATTCCTGCAAAGAGGGAAAGATTCAGTCAGAAACAAACGCATATGTTTAAATCGAATGCAAGGAAATTATCTATGAACAGCGTAAAAAAATTCCGAGACCTTCATTGCTCTATTCACGGTTTATTTCATTTTAGGTATTTTGAGAACGGACCTCTGGAGCCAGGGTAGGTTAGCAATTAATTAAAAGTTAATGGATGGTGTATTTACATCAGTTAAAAGGACTAGCGTTCTTAACTTGGTATGTGAAAGGGGTACCATTTGCCAACAGGAGGTATACGAAAGAGGTAAAGGAGTTGGACCTCGGGGCGGAAACTCTCCGTATTAAACTTTGTTCAGTAGCCCCGCTTCCACCAGCCCCCACCCCCCACCACTGGGGAAATTGCCCCACATCATTTTTAAAAACCAACCTGAAAATAGATATTGACCTGGGCCTAATTCCTGGAAGGCCTATTAATAAACCTAGGTTGAGATAAACCGGGGCTAGTTCAAAAATTTGAATTTAGATATGAATAGAAAGCGTAAAAAGCCCATTCATTTTCATTCTTATTGTGTACAAGTTGATGATTAGATGCTCTAAAATGAATACTAAAAAAAAGGTCGAAACCTGGATTAAAATTTACCCGGGTTAGCGCTACTCGGCCTTGGAATGACCGGTCCCTGGCTTTAAGCTAAGTTGACCATCATTCAAGGAACCTGGGACAGGAATCTAACCAGGGACAAGGTATAAATCTTTAGGGCAATTTAGGGCTAAGTTTGAAGCTGAAATACAACTCCACCAGACACCTCGGGGGGGGGGGGGGGGGGAG